GACTGATTGGGTGGAAACATTGCTTTATTTGCAAAAGTTTTATGCGATATTTCAGTTTCGTGCAAAAGTTTAATTGGCATGTTTGGATGGAAACATACATCTGTTGAATAACAGTTTATATATTTTGTGATTCACAAGTGTTTCCCTTTCATTTACGGTTGTGAATTGCATTACGGGATGTTGACCTTGGCTCTGTCGACTTTTGATGTTGAAAATTTAATTTGACATTTTAAAAGTGACTTTTGTTGACATTTAAGTAGTTTGAAATCATATATATATATATATATATATATATATATATATATATATATATATATATATATATATATATATATATATATATATATATATAATATATAGAGAAATAAGTCTGTAAAATATCAGAATGTATTAGCAGTTTATTACAAAGCATTTGTACCATAGTCTACAACACAAACCCAGACAATATATCGCTTTAAACTATTAAAAATGTCAACAAAAGTCACTTTTTAAGGTTGAAAATTGTTTGAAAAAAACACTGAGGTCCCATAATGAATTTCAAAAGCATAAATACACAGGGAAAAATAAAAACAAGTGACAAAATATGTAAAACTGCTCATTTACGGATGGATATTTTATTTACATTCTAGCTATTATTGACATGTGTTTGTTCTTGTCAGGTTTCATGGCTGAAGCGGAGTCTCTGTTGAATGTGTCCGCCAGTGCTTCATACGACCGCATGAGAAACGCAGCCAGTGCCCGCAGCCTCCTGCAGACCCTCCACACTGAGACCTCCCTCTTCAACAGCAAAGAACCTCCACCCGAGAGATACCTTTTCATCCTGGTGAGATGGTCATAATACTGCTGCCCCTGAACTTGATCTTATTTTAAAAGTCAGAAGTTTAAAATGGAGTACGACATACAATCTGACTCTTAATGGAGGCCTGGCTGTTGAAAATGAAAAATACACTAACACTGTCTTACAAATAATAACAGCAGTGTTGTTTCATCACCATGTAGTGTTAAAACAATGTTAACAATGTTAATTTTACACCAACCCTGAAAGTTGAACCCCAGTAAGAAAATGAAAATGGTGGACAACAACATGCGGTCTGGCTCCTAATGGAGGCCTGGCTGTTGAAAATGTGAAAAACACTGACACTGTCTTACAAATAATAACAGCAGTGTTGTTTTATCACCATGCAGTGTTAAAGCAATGTTACTAGTGTTGATTTTACACTGACCCTGAAAATTGAACACCAGTAAGAGACAAAAAATTACTGGACATGCGGTCTGACTCTTAATAGAGGCCTGGCTTTTGAAAATGTAAAAATACACTGACACTGTCCTACAAATAACAACAGCAGTGTTTTTTTATGACCATGTAGTGTCAAAACAGGGTTAATAGTGTTGATTTTACACCGACCCTGAAAATTAAACACCAGTGATTAAAATAAAATGGTTGACAACAACATGCGGTATGACTCCTAATGGAGGCCTGGCTGTTGAAAATGTGAGAATACACTAACATTGTCTTACAAATGACAGCAGTGTTGTTTTATCACCATGTGGTGTTAAAACAATGGTAACAGTGTTGATTTTACACCAACCCTGAAAATTGAACACCAGTGAGTGAAAAAAAATTGGTGGACAACGACATGCGGTCTGGCTCTTAATGGAATCCTGGCTGTTAAAAATGTGAAAACACTGACACTGTCTTACAAACAGCAACAGCAGTGTTTATTTCATCCCCATGTAGTGTTAAAACAATGTTACAGTGTTGATTTTACACCAACCCTGAAAATTGAACACCAGTGAGTGAAAAATAATGGTGAACAACGACATGGGGTCTGGCTCTTAATGAAGTCCTGGCTGTTAAAAATGTGAAAACACTGACACTGTCTTACAAGTAAATACAGCAGTGTTGTTTCATCACCATGCAGTGTTAAAACAATGTTACAGTGTTGATTTTACACCAACCCTGAAAATTGAACACCAGTGAGTAAAAGAAAATGATTAACAACGACATACGGTCTGGCTCTAAATGGAGGCCTGGCTGTTGAAAATGTGAAAACACTGACAATGTCCTACAAATAACAACAGCAGTGTTGTTTCATCACCATGCAGTGTTAAAACAATGTTAACAGTGTTGATTTTACACCCACCCTCCTGAACCCTCCTGACACTGCTGGCCATTATCATCCTCTGGCTTAGGATCGGCTCATTTATCTGGACGCTGCTGAGGATTTCGTGGCCAAGGCTCGTCGTTTCTACCCTCCCAAAGACGATGACGAAGAAGAAGAAAGTAACCCTCTGGGTATTAATCTGCCTCTGCTGCTGTCTCGCATGAACCAGAACATCTCCGGAGGAGAAGATGAGGACGAGGACGAGAGCGAACCGGATGACTGAAGCTCACAGAGTTTGTTTCCAGTCAGTTTGAGGGGGTTTGGAGGTCAGTGGATTTGGACTGAAGTTGACTCGGGTAAAAGTGGATGACTTAATTGCACAGGTTAAAGGGTTAGTTCACCCAAACATGAAAATCATCCTGCTATTTACTCACGCTTAATGCATAAATATGACTTTCTTCTCCAGTTTCCCCCCAGTCCAAAGACATGCACTACAGGTGACTTTGGTAAAAAAAAAAATTAGCTGTAGTGTGTGTATGGGTGTTTCCCAGTACTGGGTTGTGGCCGGAAGGGCATCCTCTGCGTAAAACATATGCTGGAATAGTTGACGGTTCATCCTGCTGTAGCGACCCCTGATAAATAAGGGACTAAGCAGAAGGAAAACGAATGAATTGGATTCAGCTGAAAGAAGAAAGTCATATACTCCTACTCTAGAATGCCTCGAGGTGTGAGTAAATCATGGAGTCATTTTCATTACTGTGTGAACTAACCCTTTAAAACATAACCAGACAATTGCTTTTGGGAGAAAGAAGAGAGCGTTTTCACAATTAATAAAATGGCGGCAGAGCTCACATTTTATGTAACAGAATTATAAGGTTTATTGAGGAATGTGGAGATTGTACGTGTGAGATGGCGAAGAGAATTTGAATAAAAAATGAAATGTTTTAGCTTGAAATGTATCTGTTTCTTTATATACTCACTGTACCAATGACACATATTGTGTGTAATTAGTGTTGAGAGCAGTTAGTTAAAGCTAATTACTGTAATTAAGTAACTTTTCCATATATACAGGTGCTTAGCATATGAGTACACCCCTCATAAATCTCTCTTTTAAATTCATTTTTTGATAGGAAGCTATGTCAATGTGCATTGACATTAGATTAGTCAGTACTGAAGCCAAATCTGTAGTGTAAGCTATCACTATTGAGCAGTGGTGTAATGTAATAAATTACAAATACTCAAATTACTGTGAGTTGTTTTTCTCAGGAATTGTAATTTACGAAGTCGTTTTAAAAATGTCGACTTTTACTTTCCTTTGAGTACATTTGTAGTGCAGTATCTGTACTTTTACTCCACTATTTTCCTTCAACCTGCAGTCAATACTTTTTGTCCTGTCTATGGGGATTATACAAATCAGTCCTGCGATTCCTGTCCAATCAAATCACACAGAAGGTAAATCACATCATACTGAACAACTTCGAGACATGGGTGCTTTATAATTGGAGCAAACTGTTTGGAAGCATTAAAAGTGTCAAAGAACCTGTCCAAAATGTTTACACGCATTAACCCAGAGACTGTTTAGATGCACGTCACTGATAAGATGACAGATGCTTACTGTATGATGACCGAAACGGCCTTAAACACCCAGCAGGCACAAGACGTCAGATTGACGTTGTACTCCAAAGTCGTGAGGACGTTGCATTTTGGTTGGAAATAAAAATTGGGTCGACGTCAATGTCCAACATCCAACCTAAAACCAGTGTTTAATAATGTTAACAGTTTGACGTTGTGTAGACATTACCACTATCACGTGTTGGATTTTATTTGCCATATCTGATGAATAAATGTTGGATTTTGGGCACTTTCTAACAACCTAAAATCTACGAAATATTAACGTCATTGTTGGACATCAAAATAACAGACGCTGGATTTTGTCCACCTGACATCAAAACCTAAATCTAACCTAATATTAACATCTTATGATGTGGTGTGTCTGCTGGGCAATAACTAAACGCACTACAGAATGTTACGTTTACAAATACATCCACAAATTACATGTAAACGCATCAGCTTTTAACCGCGTAATACTCACTACTCTTGAGTACTTTTGAAAGGTCTCCTTTTCACTTATACTTTGAGTAATATTTACAACAGATACTTTTACTCGCACTACCTTTTAAGGTAAGTAACGGTACTTGGGTATGATTTTTCAGTACTCTTTCCACCACTGCAACCGAGCCAAAGAAATGCTTTTATTTGCTTGGTTTTATTTTGTCAAACTTTGCTACGCATATGAAAATAGCCGGTTTATAAAAGCACTAAACTCTGTGAAGATGTGGTGAATACACTGTGAAGATTACAGCGAATTTATTACAGCTACGAGGGTTTTATGCACTCTGCATCCCCATTGTGCCTAAAAAAAAAACCCTTCAGTGTTTATAAATTCATGTAAACCACAACTTCACGGGACTTACTGCTTTATAAAATCAACTCTTTCATCCCCAAAACATTTTCAACCTAGAAAAATCCCCAAATCATATTTACATTATTATTTTAAATGTTGGAAAAGCAGAAAGGAACAACAGGCTTAAAAGAAAGCTTGCTACAGATATGAAATAACCATTAATAAATGCAGTAAGCTTTGTGAAGATGTGCTTTACAGTCAATTAATAACAGCTAAGAGGATTTTAGGCACTCTGCTCCCCGTTTATCGGAGTAGTAGTTCTTGACAATTTGTGTAAACCACATCTTTACACTGGTTTAGAAAACCATTCATCAACTCTTTCTGCAAACCCACAAGTCCAAAACATTCTCAATCTAGAAACCTCACTAAACCAGATCTACGTTATCATTTTAATGATTGTCAAAGCAGAAAAGAACGAAACAACAACAGGATTAAAAGGAAAAGAAACCTTTTTATTGAACATTTTTATTGAGGTCCCAAAAACCATCAACAACAATATTATGTAAACAATATTAATTAGGAAAATAATAATTAAAATAATAAAAAAAAAAAAACGACAGCTTGGAGACCCACAGCCGTGAGGGTTGAGCGGACAGTACGAGGCTGTGGATTCAAGCTAAGACGAGAAGATCATGTGCAATCAGGAATGTAGACGTGGTGTGCGGCGCTCAGGACTGCAGTCTGATAGGCTACTGCTGCACCTGGACACAAACAACAACACAATCATTAACACTGCTGCTGCAGCCGAACACAGACAACAAACAACACAATCACTAACACACCACACTACTGCTGCAGCATCTGGGTGATTGGTGAGAAGCATTCACAAATAAAAAAACTGTGTATGGATTTTAAAGATAAAATTATCAGTTTAGCTTAAATGATTAGGTGAGATAAATTCAGACTTTAAATAATTCATATTAAATGTTGAATGGCATAAAGACTAGATCCTGTGGTTTCGCTGTGTATATAAGACATGTCCTTTTGTATTTACAGGTCAAATTCAGTTTCTTCACGGTCATTTAGAAAGTGAATGATTTCCTGGAAAGCATCAGAGGTGAATGTTTTGCAGACTTTCATATGTAATGTAATGTGTAGCTGTACAATTAATTTAATGAAACAATTACAATTGTTAGATCAATCCCTCCGCATATTAAAATCCCACTTGCTTTCTGCTTTTTAATTTTGAAAAAATGATTTTATAAATAAACTAACTCGAACCAAATATGCATTTTATTTGTAAATATATGGAGAAGATTTTTACATCTGCAAATACATTTAAACATAAAACTATAGTGTTTTATTAATCAATATTATCATAGTAGATAGGCACTTTTATAATAATTGATAATTGATATCAATAATTGATTGAACACACACACACACACACACACGTATACACGTACATGCATATCTCTCAATTCAATAATTTTTTTAATAGCATGACAAATATGTTACAAATGTATTGCCAAAGCATTTCTAAAGTTTATATAAAAAAGTGACGTACATATATAAAAAAACACATTAAAAAGTAGTAGTAAAAAAATATATATAACAATCATATTGTATATATAAGATATTTATAAATAATTATAATGTAAATAATATATTCTATTATTCATAATATATCATTCAATATACACTATTATTCATACAAATCAATAAAAAGTAGATCAGAATAATCTGTACATTTAACATTCAACATATTATAAAAATAGTAATAAAAACAATAATAAATCAGTATATCTACAATGATTCTTTTATAATAATTTAGGTGATATATATATATATATATATATATATATATATATATATATATATATATATATATATATATATATATATAAATATATATATATAGAGAGAGAGAGAGAGAGAGAGAGAGAGAGAGTAAATGAGAATAAATATTTATTTATTGCCACAGTAACTTATAGCTATTTCATAGCAAGATTAATATAGCTTACACAAGATTACATAACTGAACAAGAGATTACACAAACTAAATAAATAAAAATATAAAATATTCATTAAATTAATCAGATATGATATGAAGATTTTTTTTCAGTTTGTTGGTGACTAATTAAAAATGAAACCTTTTCTGTATAAAATTTTTATAATATATATTTTTTAAAACATCCATCAAAGAGCTACAAGTAGAAATTTAAATATATTAAATACATATACAATAGACGCCTAAAACCACAATGTAAATTAATATTGCAAAAATGTATTATATATAGCTGAAGTCAGAATTATTATCCCCCTTTGAATTTTTTAAAAATCTTTTTAAAATATTTTCCAAATGATGTTTAAAGGAAATGTTCACAGTATGTCTGATAATATTTTTTTCTTCTGGAAAAAGTCTTATTTGTTTTATTTTGGCAAGAATAAAAGCAGTTTTTAATTAAAATAAAAAAACATTAAGGACAAAATTAAGCTATTTAAGCTTTAAGCTATATATATAGTAATAAATATATATATACTTTTTTTATGATAGTCTACAGAACAAACCATTGTTATACAATAACTTGCCTAATTACCCTAACCTGCCTAGTTAGCCTAATTAAGCCTTTAAATGTCACTTTAAGCTGTATAGAAGTGTCTAGAAAAATATCTAGTCAATTATTAATTACTGCCATCATGGCAAAGATAAAAAAAATCAGTTATTAGAAATGAGTTATTAAAACTATTATATTTAGAAATGTGTTGAAAAAAAATCTCTCCGTTAAACAGAAATTGGGGAAAAAAATAATCAGGGGGGCGAATAATTCTGACTTCAACTATATGCTTAAGATACATCAGAATTAATGCACTACATGGTTAGAATAGGATTTTCTAAATATTACCGTACCCTGTTTAAACACAGGAGATTCTTCACACAGGTGTGTGACGTACCTGCTGACTCTGTGTGTCTGGTCCTCTGCTGGCCAAACGGCTGAGAATGTTTCTTTCAGACATCTGCAGCCTCACTGCAACAGGCGGTATCCTGGCGATGGTTGCCGGGAGACGAGTGACATCGGCTTTCATGTCACTTAGCAACTCCTCCAGCTGCTTCAGTACTGTCGGACACACAAGAATAAAAGTACTGAGTGTCGTCTGCGAGAACTCAAGAGCTCATCAATAATCGATTCCTATATAATTAAAAGGCGTTTTCTTCATGAAACTCCGTTTTTAGATTTTTGGTAAAAAAAACAAAACATTCTAATTACTACTTTAAGTATTTCTTTTGTGGCACTTTATCAGTTTGTGTCTTAAAATATGTATTGTAACTGTAATTCAAAGGTCATTTACTCAAAAGTTAATAAACCTACACTTACATACACCAAATTTGACACCGTTTTATTTATATTTACTTTCTGAAGGTTTTTGCAGAGGGACATAAGCGTAAATAATTTGCCTGATCATAAAGAAGATTTTATTTGACACTAATTGATCTTTTACTGGCAGTATTTATTATGTCCCAAAATCCCCTTCAGCAAAAAAACTTTGATCTAAATAAATGTTGCGCTAGATACAATTACAAAAGGGTCCCACAAAAGGGTAGTATGGTACAGTTCACTATTTTTGTAACGTAAACAAGTTCATACCCTACTGTTCCAAACCACTCAGTGGAAACAAGCCATTCGTTGAAGGTGCAGTGTGTATGTTTAAAACCTAGTGGTTGACAAAGGCATTGCAGTCAAAATTCAAAATATTGGAATTCAAAATATTGATGCACAGGCAGGTTGCCAGGGGTCCGTTTCAGAAAACTTAGAATATTTCAACCCTGAAATGAGAGAAACTCTGGGTTTTCCGTTTCAAAATGGCAGGTTTGTTAACCTGGAGAAAGCAGGGTAAGTCAAGTCTGTTTCTGAAAGAGAGGTAACTTTAACTCAGTTACTGTGGTAACTTACTCAGTGAACCTAACCTGGGGCCTCATGTACGAAGACTTGCGTGGAAATCTTACTAAAACATTGCGTACGCACAAAGCTGTAAATGTGCGTACGCAGAAAAAAATTCAGATGTATGAAACACTGCGTACGCCGAATCTCACGCATATTCTTTTGTACATCTGAATGAACGTGAAACTGAGCGCAACATGCACGAGCACAAAACCCCTCCCTGCCTCCTCCCCCGTATGAATATGCTAATGACTATGCTAATGGCAAAACCCAACGAAAAAGCAACGGCAAAAGCAAGCAAAAAGAGAAACTTTGAACAGAATGTGAAGTGGAGGTGCTGCTTTCGGAGGTAGACCGGAGAAAACCGGTGTTATTTGCAAGTTTGTTCTCCGGAATTAACAACAAAAGAAAAAAATAGAGTGGGAGAATTTAGCTGATACGGTTAACACAGTTGGGTCTGAACATCGCACTGAGTGCATTTAAAAAAAACAGTGTGGTTTATATCTGGAAACTGCTGCAAGTTCCTTCGCAGTCTCAGTGGCGCACTTCATAAGACGCATGTGATCATGAATTGACACGTTCGAGCATAAACTCGGCTCGAATCCAGCGTCTGATGAACTCTTTCTTCTTTTTTCCTCGCTACATATCAGATTTTGCCCACTATTTATCACAAGAAAGACAAGTAGGAATCATCAATAAGTTCATATCAATAAGCATCATAATTTTTTTTATTTGCACATTTATTGAATGGAAATGTTTCTGATTCACGCATGCAAATTCATCTTCAGATAGTGTCTTTATAGCAATGTGCGTGCAGTAGATCGCTCAGATTACATTGGGAAAACAGGCGACTGCTGCAAATTGTGCTTTAATGTTTAGCTGGTCAAATGTATGGTATGGAAATCTTATATACCTGCTGAACCCGTCTCATACAGCTGCCATTGCAAGGCTCAGACACTTTGTAGAGAGGAATTTAACACAACTGCCTCTAGGAGTCGCCAATGGAAATAAAACAGACACGCACAAAAAATGTGCGTACGCCTGCCAGAAAGCTGCCGTAAACCTGCGCAAATTCCCACGTTCAGTTCATTGTTAGTAAATCCAAACGTGAGCGATTCTGAGCGTGAAACCTGGCGTACGCAAAGTTTTTGTGCGTACGCAGCGTTGATACATGAGGCCCCTGGTCAGGAGCAGGTTTTATTCTCTAAACTCTTGAGTTTCTGTCGGTCTCCTCCTCTTTTTTTAAGATGAAGCGGTATTGCTCACCTTAGTCCTGTTTCCACCCACCTATTTTCATGTTTATTTTGGAGATGCACATAAAAACGATTGATGGAAACATCATGATGCACATCACTTTTGCAAATACACATAATAAAACATGCGTATAACCGAGTAGGATAAACTTCTATTTGATAAGAAAAGATGCACAAACTGCGATGGAAACACTTTCCTGAACAAATTCCAGTATGCGCATTAAAAAAAGGTTTGTAGATTATGATGAAAATGTGTGTGAACAGACAAACCAGCACACTGCAGGACATACTACATCTTTTATTCCAGTTTTGCACATAAATGTAATCAATATATTTGGATGGAAACGGATGCAAAGTCACGTACGAGAGTGGCTTGTCCTTCTTTAATAAATAATTAGCTTAAATTCACTGCCCTTCAACATGTGCTGTAATTAATGGGATTATTAATTGTTCACAAACTATTGTTTAGTGCTGCTTACATTCTAAATGTCATATCGACCTCCATCACTTGATGTGCACTTTTAAATCTATGAAGACTGATCAACGTGTATAAAGTGGGAACGTGTGTGAAATTTTATAAACGTCACACATTACCTTACTTTTTATATTATACTTGAATATAAAAAATTTCGCATTGACTCGAGTTTTTCCACGCAAACTCATATTGGCTATAACTTTGCATGAGCACATCAGGTTCAGCTGGAGAAAGAAATGCCGATCTCTTTTTTTCTTTTTTCAGATGTTTCCATGTTGAATCGTAATATCTGCGCTCCATTGATAATGCCTTTTTTTGTTGCGGTGTGCTCGCTTCACTCTGAGTTGGTCTACTCAAAGTTGATTGACCCAACTCAGATGCGCAATTCTGAAACTGAAAACTCAAAGAGTTTTTAATCTCTCGGTAAATCAACTCCGAGTTCAAGTTTAAACTCCGAGTTGGTTGAACCTCCCTACTGAAACAGGCCCCAGATCTCCAGGAGTGAACATGCCTGACAATCGAGAGGTAAACCGCCATCACGCTAGAGTTTAAGAAATTTTGTCGTACAGCGCTGTAAAAAGTGCGGAATAAAGATGATTAGATGTTTATAAAGAGAGTGATTGCTACCTATTTTACATTTTTGTACAAGAGCTCACATTTTGATCTTCTATTGGTCTCATGCATTCACGTGATGCGATTTCGCAGGTCAGAGTTTTACAAGCTTGAACTTTGGGACTTGTCGCACGAGCTTGTGTTTCCGGTCTGTCACATTCACATGGGTATAATTTGACATCTATGGGTCAAAAAGTGTGATCACAGCTTTAGGGGTCAATCACACTGAACAAGCTTTTTCATTCTGAGAATGCGAGAAGCAATGCCTTTTTTGCTGACAAGAAAAAAAAAAGTGTGCTGCGCTTTTTATGTCGCTAGGCAACCACTGAAAAAAATGTGTTCGGTGTGATAAAGGCCTTAAGCTAATGTTTAAGTTTGTAATATTTTTATTATTTGCGATTAAAAACCACCTCATGTGGATAATTATACCTCTGAACCTGCGTCTTATTTTGGAGGCTGCTACTGTTCCCTGGAGGTCATTTTTCAGCCACGTCCACATACATTTAGGCAGCTTTCAAGATGGAAATTAAATACGCTATTTGCCACCAAGGAAACCCAGGGTGCTGAATATGACTGGTTAACCTGCAGTGGGCTGGTAATATAGACCAAAATGCAGACAGAAATGCCTACTTTACTACATCCAATCAGCTCATGGTAGAAAATACAAGCCACGCCCACAATTTTCTCATTTAATATTCAATTTCCCTTGGGAAAAAAAATAATTGCAGCTTCCGATTCACGTGGACTGGAACAGCAGGCTAACATACGTACCTTTATGTAGGACGGCGTTGGCAGGTTTGTTTCCAGACATGGACTCTTTGCTCAGGTGCTGGTGGGACTCGGCCAGACACTCCACTTCACTGAAGCGTGTGTTGAGAGCCATGGAGGGGTGAGACGGGTCTTCAGTCATGTTCAGATACGCAGCTCTGCGCAGCTGTTCTTCAATCACCAGAGCCTGCTCGAGCAACTGCAATAAAACACACAGCAACACATTCAGTTATGACAAGAAAACAACTCATTTACAGGAAAAATACTGATTTCCTGTGACCTTTATTATTAATTTTTTGCATTACAAATATGTGATGTGATATTTGTTTTTGTCCTGGCATTTTTTTAGGCTACTGTTACAGTATGTGATCAGAGACAGCAGAAGTCTGTAGGCTGATTATTTCCTCAGACTTTTTTCATCTTAGCTTTGTGTTAAATGTTCTTTTATTCATTCCTTCATTCATTCATTTTCCTTCTGCTTAGTCCCTTTATTAATTTGGGGTCGCCACAGCGTAATGAACCTCCAACTTATCCAGCATAACACAGCATATACCCTTACAGCCTCATTGACACTCATACACTAAGCAGATTCGTGTCATGGGCAGTGCTTCTGTCTACCCAGTGGCTCTAGCTTCGTTGCTTAATGGCTAACATAGTGTTTATGTGCTTTATGAAGACTGAAAAACAGTGTAGATTCATTTGGTGCAGTGTCTGAGTCCACTAGATACTTTCAGAGGTGCACCCAGCTCTGCGAGCTCATCAACTCCTCCAAAAACTTAACCTAGATGATGGAAGCTTTTAGCGGTGCTTCCGACTAAGCCGAGCTCAGTACGCTTAAGCTCAGATTTTCCAACAAGCGATTTGTGCATTAAGCGCCTCAACCGTACAAAACGCTCAACTCGTGCTGCTTCATTCGTGCGTATCGCACCGCAGGATGTCTATTCACATCTTTGCATTAACATGTAAATCACTCGCGCTTGACGCTTCTTCCGCGTCTGGTCTGAACGCAGCATAAAACTTGTGCTGGATACGTTCATTCCACTGTGGCAACCCCTGATTAATAAAGGGACTAAGCCAAAAAGAAAACAAATGAATGAATGAATGAATGAATGATTGTGTATGTTCTAGTAAAGAAGGGTTAATGTTTTTTTTTAAATACCTTGTATCCTACATACATTTAACCTCTTGATTTGTATCAAGTTGCTAATGAATTTCACTATTGCACATTATTATTATATTTTATTTATTTTTGCAGTATTTTTACACCGTATTGTGCATATTTATAATTTCTTGCGACAGTGTCAAGTACTTAAGTGTAAAATGTGAAAGTAAAAAAAAAACAATAAAAAAATACTATATCTATAAAACATTTTTCAATGAAATACTGATAACTAATCGATATTAAAATAAAATCTAAATGATTTAAACTTAACCAATAAAGACAAAACCATATTAATACGATTAACCACTGGCAAAATGCTTGCAATACCCGCTCTAGTAGATAAATAGTTGCCAGATTGCAAAAATAAAGTAAAATGCGACGCAGAACGTGCAGAATTTTAAGAAAATTACTTTAAATGAACAGTTTAACTTTCTGGTATCTGGCAACCCCAAAAATGAAAGCTCATAGAGGCTCTTTAATATTCAATTAGTCTTTTTCGTTGCAAAAACCGAGAAGTTTTAGCTTTTCAATCTCCTTCTTCTGATTAATCATTTTATTAATTGCAAAAAATGTGATTAATTAATTTAAATTGATGGACAGCACTACTTTTTTCAAATATTGTTCACAATACCTTGAACCTCCGGGCAAGAAACTTGTTTTTGATCTCCAGGAAGTTTCCTCTGTTGATCTCTCCTTTGAAGGGTTCGTTAAGAATGGCGAACCGGACGTCATTCTGAATGTCTTGCCAGCGAGCGTACCCGTGTCTGAGACGGTGAGTAAAGGTAGACCTTCACACTCTGATTGTGACTGAACGCATGTGTAAGACACCCAACATATGTGTGTGTGTGCACGGACTGCATTAAAAGATACTGGATGATGCCTGCGAGGAGCCAGTAGTCATGACGACGATGCCAGATCTCATTGGTTTTCTTAGTGACTGTAGCAGCTCGTTCCTCATTCTGCCACAGGGAGTGCAATTCTGGAAGAAAAGCCAGTTTTGTATAAATGCACAAAGTTAGGACATTTTGTTTGAATTATTTAGCTTTTTTTCATATTCATATATATTATAAAGAGCTAATATTATATATTTTACAGATTAAAAGTCTATAATGCCCATTTAAATGATTATTAATAAATTATGCAAATCAAAGAAATCACATTTAAAAATAAATAGTATTATTTTAAAAATACTTTAGTTTGCATAAACAAAAAATAAAGTTCAAAAAAGATTTAATTTATATAAAAATTACTATTGATAAATTATGCAAACCAAGTGAATAAATTTAAGATATAAATAAATAGTTTTAAATAGTTATAAAAAAACAACAACTTTGATTTAACCAAAAAAAATGTTTTGAATTGGTTTTGTTATACATTTTATTAATATATTAAATTATATATTTACAGACAATGCTAATATTATACATCTCATCTCAATAATGCCCATTTAAATCTTTATTAAAACTATGCAAAGGAAATAATTGAAATAACCCAAAACAATAGTATTAGTTACAAAAGAACACTTAATTTGTTTTTTTTTATTAGATATAAATATATTAAATTATATATTTTGGGTAAAAAAACAGGTAATATTCTAGTTTACAAATATATATTGATCCAATATAATAATATAAATAAATTGTGCAAACCAAGCAAATCCATTTAAAATAAAAACCGTTTTAAATAGTCAAAAAATGAAAATAGTTAAATAGTAAAAAAATATATAATTTTGAAAGAATCCCCCAAAAAGATCAGATTTTTTTTCATATTTATTTTATATATATTATATGGTATATTTTGGTTGACAAATGACTAATAATATACTTACAAATAAATAATGGGCATTTAAACTAATAATAAAAATAACTTGTGGATAAGTTAAAAAGTGAATAAATGTAAGTTAAAAACAAATAGTATTAAATAGTTTTAAAAGGTTATACAATTTTAAATTAATAAAAAATGTTAGATTTTTTTCCTAATTATTTCATATATTGTATTAAACATTTTGGTTGACAAATAACTGATAAGACACACTACAAATATATAATGTCCCTTTAAACAATTATTAATAAATTACGCACAAAAAAAATTAATAAAGTATAATATATCATCTTATATAACGGTAATATTTTATATTTATATTTATTATATACAAATAATATAAATATTTTATTAATATTTTAATAAGTATTAAATTGTTATAAAGCAATGACCTGTTAGTGATATTTGCAAACAAAGTAATTTTTATTACTCCAATTGTTTTAATTATCACATTTTTATTTTTACATGGTCAAACAATGCACTTTATACAAATGCAATTAAGATAAAGAGATGACAGGCTGAATAAATAAAATCCATATAGTATATTTTAAATAAAATGCAGCTCAAATATCTGAAAAATCATGATTTTAAAATGAATAACTTTAACAGAAAATCTCACCGGTGAATCCTCCATCTGCAATGTTGAACATGAACCGTGTTTTGGCTTTCTTCCTCTCCTCAATTCCTGCTCCCGCTGCGCTGTCTTTGGCACTTTCTCCATTAGGCAGTTTTCCCGCTTCTTCTGTTTTACCAGAATCTTTCTCATCCTTCTGACCTGAAGTGAGGAAAAAAACCCAGAAGTATTAATAAACTGGGAATAAAAAAATACTAATAAAATAAAAACCTAATAAAAGAAATGTTTCAAAGGCTAGTCAGGGGAAGCAGACCTTTCTTCTCATCTGTAACAGGAGTTGTGTCCATCTTCTCAGGCTCATCATCCTTCTTTTCTCCTAAAACACAATAACACAAATCTATAAAGTCTATATTTGGATAAAGCATATTTTTGCTTCTTAAAGACACACTCCACTTTATTACTTTTTGCAAATAGATTCAATTTTTATAGCATTTTACAGTTACCCTAGAGTTAAACAGATGAATTTGACCAATTATTAATTTATTGAGTCGATCTCCGAGTCTAGCAGGAGCACTTTAGCTTAGCTTAGCATAAATCATTGAATCAGATTAGACCGTTAGCATCTCCTCAAAAATGACCAAAGAGTTTTCATAATTTCCTATTTAAAGCTTGAATCTTCTGTAGTTACATGGTATACCAAGACCTACAAACAATGAAAAGTTGCTATTTTCTAGGTTGATATGGGTATATAGGAACTAATATTAATGAAATTTTAGTATTTTAATCTTAATGTAGTAATAAAATTATTTAATGTTTTAATGTGTTTAAATGAGATGAACGTGATCATGTTCTGTTGGTTTTATAGTATAAATATAGATACAGTATTTCTTGGTAAATTGTTAATTGTTTACGTTGTAATATGGATTTTGAAATTTGTATTTATTATGCATTGATTAAATGGTTTGGGGCAGTGGGTAGCACAATCCCCTCACAGCAAGAAGGTCGCTGGTTCGAGACCCAGCTGGGTCAGTTGGCGTTTCTGTGTGGCATTTGCATGTTCTTCCAGTGTTGATGTGGGTTTCCTCCGAGTTTTCCGGTTTCCCTTACAGGTCCAAAGAGGAAAAAAGGAAAATGAATGAATGATCAACTGGTTTATATTTTTAGGTTGACTATTTTACAGCCAGTCCAGTGACTGCAGATGCAAAATAGCATTTTGTCTAATTCTGGCGTGCTATACAAGCAATATTCATTTTGAAGAGAGATGCTAACGGTCTAATCAGATTCAATTAATTATGCTAAGCTAAGCTAAAAGTGCTCCCGACCAGACACAGAGATTAGCTGAATAGATTGAAAATAAAGTAAATGCAACTGTTTAATAACAGGGGAGTTGTAATTGGATTAAAAACAATCATTATTAAAGTTAAATGTGATTTTTGTCCACGTTTGGCATCTGAATATGCAAAATAGCATTTTTGGCGAATTTAGATACATTATACAAAAAAAAAAAAAATAGTAAAGAAAATTATCAAAATTTTGAAGAGAAATGCTAATGGTCTAATCAGATTCAATTAATTATGCTAAGTTAAACTAAAAGTGTTCCTGCCAGACCAGAAGATCTGCTGAACAGATTACAAATAGAGAAAAATGCAGCTGTTTAACTGTAGGGGGGTTTTTAATTAATTACAAACAATTATTATAGAGCTTAATTGTAATTTTTGTCCACGTTTGGCATCTGAAGACGCAAAAATAGCATTTTTGGCTAATTCAGGCACATTATGAGAAAAAAAGAAAAGAAAAAAGAAAATTATTGAAATTTTGAAGAGAGATGCTAACGGTCTAATTAGATTTAATTAGTTATGCTAAGCTAAGCTAAAAGTGCTCCAGTCAGACCCGGAGATCAGCTGAAAAGATTAAAAATGGAGTAAAACAACAGTTTAATTATAGGAAAGTCATAAAGAAAGTGTGTTCTTTAAAAAAAAAAACAATCGTTATAAAAGTTGAATATCATTTTTGTCCTCCTTTGGAGTCTGAATATGCAAAATAGCATTTTTGGCTAATTTAGATACATTATACAAAAAAAAAAAAAGTAAAGAAAATTATCAAAATTTTGAAGAGAAATGCTAATGGTCTAATCAGATTCAATTAATTATGCTAAGCTAAACTAAAAGTGTTCCTGCCAGACCAGAAGATCTGCTGAACAGATTACAAATAGAGAAAAATGCAGCTGTTTAACTGTAGGGGGGTTTTTAATTAGATTACAAACAATTATTATAAAGCTTAATTGTAATTTTTGTCCACGTTTGGCATCTGAAGATGCAAAATAGCATTTTTGGCTAACTCAGGCATTTCATACAAGAAAAAAAAGGAAAAAGACAAAAGAAAATTATCGAAATTTTAAAGATAGATGCTAACGGTCTAATCAGATTTGATTAATTATGCTAAGCTAAGCTAAAAGCTGTCCTGCCAGACCTGGAGATTGGCTGAATAGATTAAACGCAACCGTTTAACTATAGGGGAGTTATTAACTAGATTAAAAACAATCATTATAAAAGTTAATTGTCATTTCTGTCCACCTTTGGCGTCTGAAGTCTCCTTGTCGGCCTCAGATCCTTTGGGTTTGTCTGTATCATCAGTTTTCTCCTCAGAGTCTCCCGACTTGGCGTTTTCTTCTTCCTTCTCTTCCTGCTTCCCATCAGCCTTTTCTGCCTCCGAGGAGGATTCAGGCGTCTTCTCCTTCTCCTCTTTGCCTTTCTCTTTCTCCTCAGACGCAGAAGCAGCTCGGCCATCTTCATCCGGAACAGCAATGACCTTTAAATGAAGAACGAGAACTCAATTATTGACAAAATCATCTAAAACAAATCAGGTTAAAATAATAAACATTAAGCAGAGATCCAGACCAGTGTTCAAGTAAATAAGACAACACTGTGATTGTTAATACCAACCGACTGATTACTTGTGTTCATTCTTACTTGATTTAGATTTTTTTGGTACTATTTGGTGAAGCAGTGGCGCAGCAGGTAGTGCTGTTGCCTCACAGCAAGAAGGTTGCTGATTTGATCCTCGGCTCAGTTGGTGTTTCTGTGTGGAGTTTGCATGTTCTCCCTGCGTTTGTGTGGGTTTCCTCCGGGTGCTCCGGTTTCCCCCACAGTCCAAAGACATGCGGTACAGGTGAATTAGGTAGGCTAAATTGTCCATAGTGTATAAAGCCTGGTTTATACTTCTGTGTCAAGTGACCGGTGTAACCCATGGCGCAAGCAACGCTCGTAGCTGTGCATTTATACTTCTGCGCGCTGTCTCTGTTGGTCTGCATTAACACTTCCGAAACACTAGTTGGCAGGGAGGTGTAAATGTTCTTCTGTGTCGAGTTTCTTCGCTGCTTTTTTGCTTTTCCTGAACAATTCCGAGATGTACAAGTGGCTCAAACTCACTCATTTTGAGGCAGGAACCGGCGGACGTGCAACAACTTTAACTATGAGGTAAACACAAAACAAAACTTTGCATCCGGGGCTCCTTCACAGGACTCCACACTTGTAAACAATCGCTCCATCAGGCTCGCACCATTCATGCGGCTCTCGGTCCCGCCCAGACTCGTCAGCGCTACCAAGATGACCAATCACAGAGCTTGCGCTACACGTCATTGCAACGTGTAGTTACAATTTTTGAGAGGTGCACGTCAGTGACGCCGACGGCCACGGCGAAGGGCCATGCGTCTACACCATAGCATACGCCGGCGTTTGACGCAGAAGTATAAATCAGCCTTAAGTGTGTGTGTAAATGAGTGTTTGTAGATGTTTCCCAGAGATGGGTTGCGGCTGGAAGGGCATCCGCTGTGTAAAAAATCGTGCTAGATAAGTTGGCGGTTCATTCCGCTGTGGCGACCCCGGATTAATAAACAGACTAAGCCGACAAGAAAATGAATGAATGAATGAATGAATGGTACTATTTTATCAAATATTGTGTTAATACAGTTAAACTAAATGTTAAACTAAATGGTAAATACTTTCGATATACACATTTTTCCTTTTTTAATCTGTTTTTTACCCTTTTTATTCTATTATTTTCTTTTACTCGTTTCTTTTATTCATGTTTATGTAACGTACATTGAATTACCATTGTGTTTAAAATGTGCTATATAAATAAACTTGGCCTTGCCTTACATTTATGAAAAAGCTGATATTGTAATACAGGGGTCACCAATCTCGGTCCCTGAGGGCCGATGTCCCTGCAGGTTTTAGCTCTAACTTGCCTCAACACACCTGCCTGAATGTTTCAAGTATACCTAGGCTGTTTCTCAATATGCGTTCTTCATCTGTCTTGCGTCCTCGTGTTCTCATGCAACGTCATCATCAGCTGCCTAAGTTCAGTTGCAATACTCAAGACCGCAAGAAACTTTCCAGATGTGATCTTGATAGAGGACGCACCGATGCAGACTTGAGCACCGAACTCGCTCTTAAAGTCCCAGAAGTCATTGCGACTGGAGGTGGGAAGCGCAGCATTTTATTTAGTTTTATTATTAAAGTTCAGAGATATCATTTATTTACCCCAGGAGTTTCCCTAAATGAAACTGTGATAGTAAACAAAACCATGAACATCTTAATAAAGGAATAAACACATTAAGGGTGTTTGTTTGCTGAAATTCGTATTAAAATCTGTTTTATGCAGTTTTTATGCAGAGTATATATTTTGAAAAGGGGAAAAACAATAAATCATTGTATGAATGCTACACTGTTTAAATAATTTACCATTTAAAACGTGTGAAGGTCATGTGACCATCAGGAAGAATGCAGCATCTCATTTCTCACAGGACGCGTTTCTGCCCTTGCAGTCTCCTGAGTTCGTTCTTCCGAGGACACCTGGCAAGACCGGTCTCCACAAGAACGCAAGTCATTTCTCTGCGTTCTTGGAATTGAGAAACAGCCCTAGTACGACCTTGATGAGCTTGTTCAGGTGGGTTTGATTAGGGTTGGAGCTAAAATCTGCAGGACACCGGCCCTCCAGGAACAAGTTTGGAGACCCCTGCTCTAATATGACAGTCTAAAAGCTGATACTCACTTCACTGTTTTTGTTTTCATTGGCCTCCTTCTCTCCGTCTCCATTTTTCACCTTTTCTTTATCAGCATCTTTACCAGCATCTTCTGCTTTGGGAACACCGTCTGCAACAAAGACATTTTAAAAGGTTAATTACTCAGACTGAAACATTATGAGTACTATTATAAGTGAATGAGGCGAGTGTACCTGGAGCAGGTGTGTTAGGCTGGGTGTCTGATGGAGTGCCAGTAGTGGGGGTTTTGCTGGGAGAGTCTGGATGGCTGCCGGCGGTGGACGTGGTCTTATTCTCGCTCAGCTCCATCATCCAGGGCATCGACCACTGACCGTTCACATGCTCAAACTCTTGCACCTGAAAAAAGACGTCATCACAATATTGCTAATCTGATTACTAATAAATGGCTGAACCCATGTATGCAGTTTTCTTATCTAATTTGTCATCACACAGATAGTTCAATCCAATAAAGAAAAGCCTCCATGCATTCCAAACACTAAGGAAATATACTGAAGAATGTGGGGGAAAAAAAAAAGTCACATGGATTTCCATGAATGCAGCAAAATGAGAGCCGGCCTCTTTGTGTTCCTACTTGACTTGAATTGTTCACTTGCTACATTTACTTCACTACATTACACTCGTGCCCGGATTCGTTGCTGAATAACCAATCAGAGCGCTCTCTTCAGTCAACGGCGGATTCTAGATGTTGAATTGAGCCAATGAGCTTCCACAGTAAACCAACGAGAGAGAACACACCAAAACAACTAGCTGGACAGACAAAACCCAACAACTGACTGTGTGTCCCAGCCTTAACATGACTAGACCCACACGGAATCTGCTCGTGCAAAAATCCACAGATTTTCAGCCTATCATTGAGTCTATTTATTTACTTGTGTAAGCGTGTAAATTTATGTTTGTTTAGTCTTTTTGCTAATATTATTGACTAATATGAAAACGTTCATAGCATTTATTTACAGTACAGTTTGTAAAGTAATATTTTCTATCTTTTAGTAGATAAATATTATATAAGAGACTGGCTTTGTTTACCAAAATTTGTGGATCTAATTGGATTTGCATTGTAAACCGTTACGTTTCACGTATGTTTTGTTGTGTTTTCTTTTTTGCGTTCTCTTCTCTCTCTCTTGTTGTGGATCCTGTCCTGTTTCAGGTGTGCAACCATTGTTCAAGTGAGCTGTCAATCACCATCGTCACTCAATCGGCACGCCAATAAGGATTGGGTCTGCGCAGTATAAAAGCCATTTGCTTGCACTGTTCTTGAGGAGCGCTGTGCTCACAGCCAGTCCCCTCACTTGTGTCGACCGGCCTGTTCACTTGTTTGCTTCGCTAGGTGTTGTTTGAAATTGCTGTGTTCTTGTTTTCTCTTTATTGAGAGATTCATTTATTAGATAAACTTGTGCAGCTCAGTTTACTGTCTAGTGAGAATTTGAATGATCTTTATGAGAATTGGATTATTTGAGATCTTGTTCTGCTAACGGCTAACAGTGTGTACTTTACGAGAATTAGAGTAATGTGAGCAGCTCAGAATATTTATGTGTTAGTTAATGGAGGTGTTGCCACATGTGTAATTATGTTTGGAAGTTATGAAGTTTAGTTAAGCTACGTGCTGAAGATTGTTTCTGCATTTTTCTTTGATCAGTCAGTTTAGTGGGTTGGGGTTTAGTTAGATCGTTTTGTTATATTTATTTCTTTGTTTTGGCAACACTCCTGTTTTCTTTATTTAATTTGATTATTTAAAATTACATTTACATTACATTCCCTATTCATTGTTTGACATTCTGTTTAATAAATACTTACTTTTTGATTCACTTAACAAGCGGTTGTGTCTTCTCCTTATTCTTTCAGCATCAGTAGACTCACTGATTGTTACGTTTCATCCATTTAATTATTTAACAACTTAAACACGTAACAAAAAACTTAATACACGAAATCAAAAATAATATCTTTTGACTTATATTTAATTTTAAGTTATGATACTCCATATATATATATATATATATATTTTTTTTTTTTTACAAAATTCTCTGCAGATAAAGCAAAAAATGTCAACAGATCCTGTCATTCTCTCTGGCCCTTAATATGACCTTTTAAATGCACATGACTTGGCTGTTGTATTGTGTTCCAACAATGCTGAGGCATTTACCTTCTTTCGGATGAGCGACATCACACCGATGCGCGTGAGGACGTGCTGCCGTGAAAGTCCCTCTCGAGGAACACCATCTGCAAAGCTTTCAGCACCATCTGCGCCAGGTTCACACAAGTGCCGCATAAAGAGAGAGACATAAGCCCTGCGAGAAAGCAGACGACCATCAGAACCAGTTCACATTTCTCAAAAGACCAAATCAATGATTGCTTACTTAGGAATTTATGGAAACGTATCAATAAAATCAAATAGGCACTCAACAGACACTTATGCATTCACAGTTTTATAACTTGAGTATGTTTTAAAAGGGAAAGTTCACCCAAAAATCTACATTCTGCCATTAATTATTCACCTTTCATTTGGTCTTGTTTCTTTCCTCTGCTGAAATCAAAAGATATTTTGAGAAATCTTGGTTGCTAGCACCCATTGAATTTCATAGTCATTTTTTTTATGCTATGGAAGTTGATTGGTGCTAGCATCAGCATTCCTCAAAATATCTTATTTTGTGTTCAACAGAAGCTCAAAGATTTAAAACCACATGAGGGTGTATAAATCATGAGGAAACTTTCATTTTTGTGTGAACTGTCCCTTTAAATCTAGTTGTTTAACAATTTCGCATCAACGAAGTTCGAGATTTTGAAAAGAAGTCTCTTAGGTTCACCAATTTGCATTTACTGCATCAAAAAACTATTAAAACTTAGAATAAAAAAAATTCTAATGAATCTACAATTAGAATTATTATAATTTGTATCAGATATTAATAGAATATTGTTTTGTATGGTACTATTTTATCAAATATTGTGTTAGTACAGTTAAACTAAATGTTAAATTAAATAGTATATTTCTAATATACATATTTTTCCTTTTTGTTTTAGCATTTTATTCTATTATTTACTTGTACTCGTTTCTTTTATTTATGTTTATGTAAATAAACATGAATAAAATAAATCTTATACTCGTTTCTTTTATTCATGAATATAGAATATTGTTTTGTATGGACCCAGTGATACAAAACAAGACTTGTTGAATGAATAGAAAGTTCAATGAATAAAGGTTAAAAGCTGCATTCCAATAATGTGATAAATCTCTTTATTAACGCTTATGATCAATTTAATGCATCTTTGAAGAACTGTAGCCTTTGTTCCCTCAAGAAATAATAGTAAATGCTTTGAATGAAATATTTTTTCACAAAAAAAATCTTCTTAAAAAAAAAAACTGGACTTTCAGCCTGTAACTATTATTACTAAGTTTGTAGTATTGATCTGTAATCGAAAGGCTCACCTTTATTTGTAACCAAAAAGTCCTAATTCATAGTCAGTTAAATATTTATAACCTGGTCAAACTTAAAATAATAATAATAAAAATAATTAAATTCAAATCACACAACTAGTATATAAACCACTAAATGAATTAAAACTCACTTAAACTCTCTCTCTGATTTGCCTCGCAGGTCTCTGACCAGCCACTGTGTCGTGAAGGCGTCCTGAGGTGGCATGCCATAACGCATCACAGCATTCAGGAAAGCCTTCCTTTGACGAGCATTGAAACCCAACACCTGCCAAATCAAAACAGTTCAGTTGTAGTAACTCAAACTCAAAATATGCAAGTTAAAACAACAAAAATCTCTCACACTTCTATGTTTATTTGTTTATTTCATTGCTACATCAGCAACATATGTATGAATTATTAATCTAAGCATGTATAAATTATTAATTAAATTATAAAGTTCTTATATAATATGTTTTATCTATATTATTACATAATAATTTCAACATCCTAAAGCTTAGCTCCTGATTTATCAGGGGTCACCACAGAGGAATGAACCTCCTGTCCATCTGTTTTATGCAACGGATACTTCTCCAACCGTATGATACAAAAAATAAATAATTAAATAAAATACATAATATTAAAAACACTAGAGATTATTTTTGGTTTGATACATGATAAATAACTAAAATTCTTCCCAGGAGACATTTGGAAAAAAACATTAAAGTGATTAGAGTAAAGAAAACTGGTCTCACCTCTATGTTGCCGCTCACTCTGGCCAGCAGGGGGGGCAGTGGTTTGTCTTTGTCGTTTCTGAGGCCTTTCCTGTTGGGTCGCCGTGAATTGGCTGCAAGCAGACGACCATAATTGTGTTTAAAGAAAGTGTCTATTTGTTATTAAATTAAGTTTGATTTAGCTATGCTGATCTCACCTTCTGATCGCTCGTCAAAGTCCTCGTCTCCTTCCTCTGAGGCAACCGAATAGTCTGATTGGCCGTCAGATTGATCGTCCTGCCAATCTGCAACGGATAAAAGGCAAGTATTTGATTTATTTTTATTTATTTAGATTTTTACTGCATGGATTTCCTAATTCACTCACATATTTATGGTTCACAGAACTTTTTAGATTGGATATACAAAATTAAATATCAGAATCCAAAAAGTGTAGAAACAAAATTAAGTAAACAAGGATATAACATTTAGATATGAGAATATGGCATTAAACTACCATAATAATAAAATAATATTTGTATGTAATCAAAGTAAATTATAATAATACTCATCTGTTGCTTTTCAATTGCTAATACAGTGTTTACTTCTTTATATAGTTTTTTAGTCTAAATAAATCCAAACTAAATGGGGATGGTACATTTGACACCGTAAGTGTTCAAAATTACTATGTGGGTATTTCTATCTTATTTTACTGTTCTTCATCATATTTTTCCTTATGTTCTCTCATAAAAACATAAATGTTATCTTCTAGGCTCTAAGTCTAAGTTTGGCCTTAGAAAACTGAAGCTTAACCACTTGCAAATGCTGCTTATGTTGCATGGGATGAAAGTCCTCAAGTATGGTGGCCATTACTACAACTATTACGACCACGACTACTATTACGACTGTTTCGGACTACTACTACTATCATTACAACTAAGACTACTACAATTACGACTACTACTACTATTACAACTAATACTACTACTATTACAACTATGACGACTACTACTACAATTACGACTAATGACTTCTACTACTATTACGACTACTACTATTACGACTAATGACTTCTACTACTACTACTATTACGACTACTACTACTATTACGACTAATGACTTCTACTACTACTATTACAACTACTACTACTATTACGACTAATGACTTCTACTACTACTACTATTACGACTACTTCTACTATTACGACTAATGACTTCTACTACTACTATTACGACTACTACTATTACGACTAATGACTTCTACTACTACTATTACGACTACTACTACTATTACGACTAATGACTTCTACTACTACTATTACGACTACTGCTACTATTACGACTAATGACTTCTACTACTACTATTATGACTACTTCTATTACGACTAATGACTTCTACCACTACTATTACGACTACTACTATTACGACTAATGACTTCTACGACTACTATTACGACTACTACGACTATTATGACTAATGACTTCTACTACTACTACTACTACTATTACGACTAATGACTTCTACTACTACTATTACGACTACTACGACTATTATGACTAATGACTTCTACTACTACTACTACTACTATTAGGACTAATGACTTCTACTATTACTATTAAGACTACTACGACTACTACTACTATTATTATTACAACTAATACGACTTCTACTATTACTATGACTACTACTACTACGACTACTGCTTTTACGATTATTTAAATGAAAAAAATACATTAAAGAGCTATAAAAACAAAAAATAATACAGTGCTAATACGGTGTTTACTTCTTTATATAGTTCTTTTCCTCTAAATAAATTCAAACAAAATGGGAATGGTACATTTGACACAGTAAGTGTTCAAATTTACTATGTGGGTATTTCTATCTTATTTTACTGATCTTCATCCTATTTTTCCTTATGTTTTCTCTTAAAGAAATGTATTATCTTCTAGACTCTAAGTCTAAGTCTTCTAAGTTTGGCCTTAGAAAATTGAAGCTTAAGCACTTGCTGCTTATGTTGCATGGGATGAAAGTCCTCAAGTACGGTGTGCAGTTTGGTTTGGTCACAATTCTCACCTCTGTCCTCCTGAGAGCCGTCGTTGTAGTTGACCTGTTTGCGGATTCGCTTGCCCTTGCCCAGATTACGAGCCAAATCCTCCTGCTGCTGCTCATAATGGTGTCGGAGGAGTTTCTCCCAGTAATCTGGATCCACACTTTCCTCCTGCTTGATGATTTCCCTCTGAACTTCCTCCTCCTAAGGTCGGAAGAAAGGAAACAGCAAGAGAAGGACAAAAATTATATTTATTAACATAATATAGCACACATCTGCCACAACAATAATCCAACGTGGGATCCATAGCAGTTTTAAAATTAATAAATAAATAAAAAAAACTCTATTATGACTACTACTACAACAACTACGACTACTACTACTACTATTACAACTAATACGATTACTATTATGACTACCACACTACTACTGTTGCTATTACGACTACTACTACAATTACGACTAATACGACTTCTACTACTACTATGACTACTACTACTACTACTTTTTTGACTACTACTACTACGACTAATACGACTTCTACTACTACTATTATGACTACTACTACTACTGCAATTATGTCTACTACTACTACTACTACGACAAAATTCGATTAACTTTTATTTGAATAGCGCTTTTACAATGTAGATTATGTCAAAGCAGCTTCTTTGACACAATCTACATTTCAAAAAAAAATAGCAATACTACTATTATGACTACTATTACTACTACTACTATTATTACGGCTAATATGACTACTATTACTACTACTTTTACAACTTATGCTACTACGACTATTATGACTACTACTATTATTTTTACTACTATTAGGACTACTGCTACTACTACCATCACGAACACTACTACCATTATGAAACTATTACTATTACAACAACTTACTATGACAATGACTACTGTTACTACGACAACTACTATTATTATTATTATTATTATAAAAAAGAAATATTACTATTGCAATATTTCACTGTTAAAATAAAATAAATTGTGTATTAAAAAAATTGTGTAAAATGTATGTATGACCATTTTCATTTTAAAATACGAAACCTGTTTTCAAACTTAATATGTCTTTAAAGTAAAATTAAAGCATTTAAAAATACTGAAATAAAATTTAAATCTTATATTATACATTTAAAATTACAATACTAATAGCGATAGCTGCAACAATAATGTGGTCTTCACTTTAACATATGTACAAATTATTGCTAACATTTTAGCATAAAAAAATTGGAAAGAAACTACTATTTTACAATTTTCTAAATCAAATAAATACGCAGTCCTAGTGCAAACTTCAATGCCACAATGCTCTTTAATCAGCACTCACCGCCTAGTGCAAACTTCAATGCCACAATGCTCTTTATTCAGCACTCACCGCCTCTTCCTCATCCTTGACCACATACTGCGCCACTTTAAAGGAGCTGAGATACTCGTTCATGCTCTGGAGCTCCGTGTCGTCGGTCGCATCCTGATTACGATCCAGCAGGCGATCGATGGCTTTGTCATCATAGTGAATCACACTGCTGTCCTCTTGTCCTTCTTTGTTCTCTCCTTTAACAGACAAACAAACACAGCCACTTCAATCTCAGTACACCACAGAGTTCCAGCAGGTTTTATGAGGGTAAACTTTTTTAAAGACTAACAAAAGAAAACAATACAGCAATGCACGTAAAATTACGTATAATAGAGAGCATATAAAGAGTTTATAGCAACATCGCAAATTAAAAAAAAACTTTTACATTTTAAAGTGTGTAAAAGGAGGGTTTAAACAAAGTTGTGTAGCAACAGTCTGTGAATATAACCAGCTTTCAATGGCAAAAAATGTATTAATTTTATTGTTTATAAGCACACTTGATAAAATCGTCGAAATCGACATTCTCCATTTGTACGCGTCATCAGAATGGAGAGGCCCCACCCATTGGTGACAATCTCTCCCTCATTAGCATAGGATGCAAGTCTTGTTTTTGAATCTGCCACTATGCTGAAACACAGGCATTTGTAGCTCCGCCCTCTTTTAAAATGAGCACAGTCTCATTTAAATTTAAAGCAACAGTCACCAAAACGCCCCAATTATGATCAAAGGCTAAAATGGGTAGTTTTAAAGAGTCATTATATATCTATATAGCATTTCTTTGCTGCACTGAGAAGCTTTATTTAAGATGTTGTGTCATACCTTCTCCCTCGTCCTTAAATAGCTCCTCTGTACCGAATTTAAGAATGTCATCGAGCTCCTGTTTAGACATCGAACCAGTCTTTGAGCCCAATCCAGGACGCACAACCAAGTGAGTCAACATCATCTTCTTCTTGGCCACCTTCAGATAAGAAACGCAAATAAACCGGTCAGATTAGATTTAAAAGACACTGTTGGTGAATAATATTATTTAGTTTCCTGCAAAGACTGTGGATTATACCTGAGTAATTCGCTCTTCTACAGAAGCTTTGGTTACAAAGCGGTAGATCATCACCTTCTTGTTTTGACCAATCCTGTGAGCTCTGCTGAAGGCCTACAAAGAGGAAACACAAGGAAAATTGAAGATGGCTATAACAAAACCAAAAAATGTTAAATAAATAAATAATGTGACCTTTTGAGTTTGTTAAAAACACTTCATATTGAGTAATATTACTGAACTCCAGTGGTATTTCTGTAGAGCTGCTTATAACCTAGTTGAACTAAAAAATAACTGATGAACTCTGATTTATACATTGTTTTAAAACTTTGTTTTGCAATTCATAAATTCAGAACTAATCTGAAATGTATTACAAACAAGGAAAACCATTACAGTTTACTAAAACCATGTGATAATATGTAATTTGCATTAAATTTTGCCAAAAAACAAGAAAAAAATACATGCATAAATTATAAATAAACTTCTTTTACCCATTTACTTTTATTCGACTAATTAGTTTCATTTAAATAAAAGTAAAAATTGTATATAAAAAATAATTATGAAAAAAACAGACCCCCCCCCCCAAAAATTACTAAACCTTTTAAAAATATTAACATTCAAAATATATATAAATATTTAATTAATTCTGTATAACTTGAGAGTTGAGCTGCCTAAAGCTCCTTTACTAATTTCATAACTGAAAATGTGATTTTTGCACAAAATAAAATTAAATTAGTTACTATAGCCAACCTAAACAATAACAATTTCTATATAAATTATGATATAAACTTCTATAATTTGCACTAAATGTTGACCAAAACTAAATAGGCATTAAACAATTGCCAAAATAAATCCATATTTTTAATAAATAATAATAATTTAAATACAAATTCTGAGGAAAAAAATCATTAAAAAGCTATTTAAAAAATAAATAAATAAATATAAGCAAAAGTTAAATGTGTATTATTTGATGAAGTTTCTATTAACTGATTGCTTTTTTGTTGGCTTATTGCTACAATAAAACAATTCATTCTTTATAAATCACTATATAAACAAAAAGGACTTCAGAGAGTTCAGGAAAAACGTTTAACATGTCATATCTCAATGATTTTACCAGATTAGTTAAAGGTTAAACATCAGTGAGAGTCCATAGTTTACCTGAATGTCATTGTGAGGGTTCCAGTCTGAATCGTAGATGACGACGGTGTCTGCGGTTGCCAGATTGATACCCAAACCACCAGCTCTGGTCGAGAGCAGGAAAACAAACTGAGGAGCACCAGGAGCTGAAGCCAATGAAAGCCACAATACACTATGACACTTGTCATATCATTTCAGAAACGGAGTTTGTAAAGAGGAAAAGAGAATATTCGTGTAAACGATTTAGATCAAACATCTTGTCTCACCGTTAAAGCGGTCAATGGCTTCCTGCCTCATGCCTCCTGTGATTCCTCCATCAATACGTTCATATTTGTAGCCCTCATTCTCCAGGAAATCCTCCAGCAGGTCCAACATTTTGGTCATCTAGAGCGCAACAGAATATCTCAAACCCTGCTGTGCATACTACACATACATTACATGCATATTTTATTATTAATAATTCATTTTTGAGGTGGATTTTAAACCACTCAAGGTCACCGCACATAGGACTCAATAAATAAAACAATAAAAACCATAAACAATAAAAAACATAAAAGAAGTAACAGGCACTTATTTTTTAAGGTGTTATTATTACAGATACATCTATGATGCAAATTATTTATAGACCTCCTGAATATTTCTCTGCACTTATTAGACATTGGTTTGAGTTTTCAAAGTTTTACTTAATAAATGTCTGAGGAAATTTCTTTCAAATTTAAAAGTTAAAAGCATTATTCCTCCCACTATATGAAAACTGGTCAGAACAACAAATGTTTTCATTTACTGGAACTGATTATCAGTGTTAATAAATTAAATATGGATTTCATAACATTTCTGAAGTTGAACTTCATGATCGTTGACATCGTGTTGGCAAAAATGTGGGGGGTGAAAAAAGCTGGTGCTTCTTGCACACCCTCTCCTCTCCATATGCACTAGACACTTTCTTTACAAAACTCTTGAAAAAAAACATTGTGCAATTCTTAGTGCACTTCTACGGGTGGTTTGTCAAGCCCTCTCACCTATGTGAAGACACTCTCTTTTCCTCTCCATATGCACCAGACACCTTCTTATAAGCACCCTATACTTATATATAAATATTTAATTAATTCTGCATAATTTGAGAGCTGAGCTGCCAAAAGCTCCTTACTAATTTCATAACTGAAAATGTGATTTCACAATTTATTGAACAAAATAAAATAAAATTAGTTACTATAGCCAACTTAAATAATAATAATTTCTATATAAAGTATAATATAAACTTCTTTAATTTGTACTATTTTATTATTATTATTAACAATAATCATAATAATAATAAATTTTTGAGGTGCATTTTAAACCACTCAAGGTCACCGCACATAAGACTCAATAAATAAAAACAATAAAAACCATAAACAATGAAAAACATAAAAGAAGCAACAACCACTTCCTATTTAAGGTGTTATTATTACAGATACATCTATGATGCAAATTATTTACAGACACCTGAATATTTCTCTGCACTTATTAGACATTGGTTTAAGTGTTCAAAGTTTTACTTAATAAACGTCTGAGAAATTTTCTTTTAAATTTCAAATTTAAAAGCATTATTCCTCCAAGAATATGAAAACTGGTCAGAATAACAAATGTTTTCATTTACTGGAACTGATTATCAGTGTTATTAAATTACATATGGATGTCATAACGTTTCTGAAGTTGAACTTCATAATCGTTGGCAAAGTGGGGGGTGAAAAAAGCTGGTGCTTCTTGCACACACTCTCCTCTCCATATGCGCTAGACACTTTCTTTACAAAACTCTTGAAAAAAAAATCATTGTGCAATTCTTAGTGCACTTCTACAGGTGGTTTGTCAAGCCCTCTCACCTATGTGAAGACACTCTCTTTTCCTCTCCATATGCACCAGACACCTTCTTATAAGCAACCTATACTTTGTGCAATTCTGATTGTGCTCCATACAGATACACTAGAGCAGTGTTTCCCAACCCTGTTCCTGGAAGCACACCAACAGTACATATTTTGGACGTCGCCCTTATCAGACCCTTTAATTTTAGGTTTTGGAGACTCTTCTAATGTTTCGATAAGTTGATTCAGGGGTGTTTGATTAAGTAGAAGGTGAAAATGTGTACTGTTGGTGCGCCTTTAGGAACAAAGTTGGAAAACACTTCATTAGAGGACATACTCACTCCTCTTCATGTACTTTTATTTGTTTGTCCGTATACTTTTATTGAATTTGAATAAAAATGTCTGCTAAACAAAAAAATCTTAAATGTTGTGTTCATTTGAGTTATCATGATTTGTGCCAGATATTAAAAACAATATGAAAAATTAATAAACAAACAATGTTTCTTGTTTACCTGAGAGAAGATGAGCACCCTGTGTCCACCCTCCTTCAGCTTGCGCAGCATCTTCTGCAGTAGCAGCAGTTTTCCAGAAGATTTAGTCAGGCCACCACCCTCATACATCCCATTGGGCATTTTGGCAGCTTCCTGTTTCACACAGCCAATCAGGAGATCAGAGACTTTTCTGATACTGCACCCTCCGATATCATATGCGACTATAGTTTGCATTAAATGGGGAGAAACTTAGAAACATGGACTGTACCATAGCAGCAGCAGGGAATAGATAAGGATGGTTACAGCACTTCTTCAAGTCCATGACCACATTCAGCAGAGAAACCTGATTTCCTCCACCACGAGTGTTCAGAGCCTCGAAGTTTCGGGTTAGGATGAACTTGTAATATTTCCTGAATTAAAAAGACATGCATTTATCAGAAACTCTGCATATTGTGTGAGCGTGTTTTGGATTGCACACTCACTTCTGCATGGGGCTGAGCTCCACGCGCACAATCAGCTCTGTTTTTGAAGGCATGTGCTTGAACACGTCGGCTTTGAGTCTCCTGAGCATGTGTGGTCCCAGCATGTCATGAAGCTTTTTGATCTGGTCTTCCTTGGCGATGTCCGCAAACTCCTCCAAGAAACCCTCAAGATTACTGCAGAGCAAAAGATAGTGTTGTTTTTGTGTGCATATTCCTAAAGTTACACCAGAGGGTGCTAAGAGAGTGTCTGAAAATATTATTTTTTTGTTTTGTTTTAAGTGTTAGTAAAGAGTTTTGTTAATTTAAGCCTTCTAATAATATGAATAATGTTATGTTAAAATTAGTACTTCTATTTTAGTGTCTTGCTCACTGTTTGAATTGTGCTATATAAATAAAATGTGAAGTAAAAAAAAAATTATAATAACTTAATATATTTATTTTAAAAAGATCATGTAAGAAATAATGAATGAAAAAAACTATTTTAAAAATGCTGGAAATTATTAAACATTATTAAACTTAAATTTTGATTAAAAAAACATTTAGCTTAATTTATAATAAAGAATAAAAAAAAAGTATTATAAAAAAAATAAAAGTATTATTTATTGCTAAAAGGCTGATGTAAAAAATGAAAACATATTTCGAGTATTAATGTGCATTGCGAATTTATATTAAATATTATTTAAAAATATTAATAGTTATACTTAAAAGATTATGTAAACAATTACAAAAACTCTGTATTTCTAAAATGCTGAAAAAACATTTAAAACTTAATAAAATAAAAACAACACATTTAATTAAAAACATTAATATAAAAGGTGATTTTTTTGCTTAATTTATATTAAAGAATAAGTGTATTATTTATTGCAAAAAAGCTGATGTAAAAAATTTAAACATTTCAAATATTAATTTGCATAGTAAATTTACATAAATATCATTTAAAATAATCTAATTATATATATTTTGAAAAGGACCGTTCACAATCACACACACAAAAAAAAACAGTAGTTAAAAAATGCTGGAAAAACGTATTAAAAACAATACATTCAATTAAACATATTTATTAATACAAAAGGTTAAAATACATAAATTTTGCTTAATTTATCATCAAGAATAATAATAAAGTATTATTTATTGATAAAAAGCAGATGTAAGAAAAAGTTACATTTTATAAACAAAAACTATTAATAAAAAATAAAAATGAAACAAATATCTAATAATAATAAACGTATAATACAGACATAAAAAGTATTTTTTTTAAATTTGTATTGAACAAAGCCCTTCATTATCTTTGTAACTTACCATTAAAATCCTTAAAAGCTTTCATTAAATTTTTTTAAATTAATTAATACAATAATCAGCAAGCTTTCTCTCTAAATTAAAAAGTATTAACACAAACTGACCTGAATCTCTCCGGCGTGAGGAAGTTGAGCAGATGGAAAAGCTCTTCTAGGTTGTTTTGCAGTGGTGTTCCTGTCAACAACAGCTTATGCTGCAGCGGGTAGTTGTTCAGTATCCTGAAAAACTATGGACACCACAGAACAGTAGTAAACCACAAATGAACAGAATTCATTCAAACCAATGTAGCATTATAAAGCAGCCATGTTGTCTCACCTTCGACTGGTTATTCTTCAGTCTGTGGGCCTCATCAACAACCAGACAGGCCCAGTCGATGGAGCCCAGAACGGCTGTGTCAATAGTGATCAACTCATAGGAGGTCAACAGCACGTGAAACTTGACGGAGGCTTCTTTCTGCAGGATCATCAGTAAACAATTTTTATTGTATGGATTCAAGATTTAACATTTAGGTGCACAGCAATAAGTGATAAAAGTCAGGGGGGAAATAAGTGAAATGGTGGTACGGTCCGGTTCAGATCAAGGTTATTATAGTTAACGAAAACGAACTTAAAAACTAAAACTAAAATGTAAAATAATTGTTGTTAACTGAAATAAAAATAAGAGTTTTTAAAAAAAAAACTATAACTAACTGAAACCGTGTTGTGTACATATAAAACTAACTGAAACTAGCTAAAACTATAGCAAACGCCTCCTTCGTTTTCGTATTTGTAAATGTATTTACTACATATTCTTACTGTATGCCTTTTAGAAGTAAATCTAATTCGCGCTGCAGGTGTTTGACCCGTACGGCACCTCAGAGTCTGTAGTCCTGCTGCCATTGGCCAGATCGAGCCGGTTGTCCAGTCATCCTCGCTGCTGCTCCCGCGACAAAAGCAACGAGTGAACATGACAGCAGCACGGTGACAGTATTACAGGCACTTCAAACTATTACTTTAACACATTTATTACCAATAATAGGTTTTATTTCTGTATCGCGAACAAATCGCATCTTCTAAGTGAACCGGTTGAACTAGTTCACCAAATCTAACTAAATCATTTAAAACTATTCACGTCTTCAGTAAGCACTCATCTACAAACTACTTAATTTTTAACAAGCCTAATACCCCCCTCTGACTCGAAATAGTCCAACATATACTCTCATTCAGTTATGAGAACAGTAACATTACATTGAGAAGCGGTGAACAGATAATATTGTGCATGCGTGACACAGTGAACCAAACACCAACAGTACAACCTGCTGTGTGACTGAACTAAACTTGAACAACTGCAGCGCGGGTAAACCGAGGGCTTAAATGAGAGGATCTGGTAAAACGTGTCATAACAGACAATCGTAATGGAATTTAAATAAGTGAATCATGCTTCAGTTGGGTTGCAAAACTTTACTGTAATTGTAAAAATCCAAACTATTTAAATACTTGGAGTATAAAGCATGTGATGGAGCATGTAAACACACTCAATGAAGAGGAGTAATGAAAAGAGTCTTCCAGCTAACCGACCTTCATCTTGGAGGGTTTCTTGCCACCACGGATGGCGTTGTTTTCGAAGGAGAACTCGTTTTCTCTGATGACGGCCCTGCTGTCTTTGTCGCCCACATATGTGACTACGTACATGTCCGGAGCCCACATCTCAAACTCTCTCTCCCAGTTGATGATGGTGGACAGCGGTGCACTGACCAGGAACGGGCCTTTAGAATGACCCTGGAGAACAAACAAACACAACTGCATTAACAAAATGTTGACTTTATAAATGTATTTAAGCAACATACAATGTTATGGTGGCTCATGTTTTTAATTTTCCTAAACACCAAAACTCTTTTAATTTGATGTGCACTGGTAATCAAGCAAATACCAGATGAAAGCAATCATAACTATCAATTTGTGTTAAACCACAGCACATTTGAAACTTCATGTGACACTTTTACTTTTAAACATCTTAAATTTATTAAATCAAAATAGTCAAAAAGTCCATGCCATTTTATTTGATTCGTGAATCTTTAATTTACTACATTATAACCTGGCCCTTAAGAAATATATAAATATAAATATAAAATATAAATAATTTTAAAAAAGCAGCAAAAAAAAAAAAAAAAAGATAAACCGGCGCACCTCTTTATACAGTGAATAGAGGAACACAGCAGTCTGCACAGTCTTTCCCAGCCCCATCTCGTCTGCTAGGATGGTGTCGGTTCCCTGAGCCCAAGAGAAGCGCAGCCAGTTGAGCCCTTCAAGCTGATATGGGTGCAGCGTTCCGCCTGTGGTGTCCAGATAATCCGGCTGACGCTCAAACTTAATGGTGGGCTGGAGGAAGGCAAGAAAGTGCAGAGTAAGTGGACTGTGTAGTTGGATCAACCCTTGTGTACTATTGGGGATGTTTTCATCCACTCTGAGGTAATTTTTGAGTCCTAATTTGGCCACAACTTTCTGTTTCAGCAAATATAAATATTTTTTTATTGGCAAATCTTATTTTGACACACATGGGAAAATGCATTGGTTTAAAAAAAAAAAAAAAAAAAAAAAACTTAACAATACACTCAAATTTACCACCCTTTCACTATGTTCGGGCCTGTTTTTGCCCCAGTGACTTCCATTATAACCACATTTTTTTGATTACAAAGGCATGACACCACATAATCATGCATTCTTGATTGTGATCAATTTGTGATTTTTACAGTTAATCATCAGTTACAGTGCAAAAAAGCTTAGTTTCTGGCTTGTATATGGAGTATACTGTGCGCGTGTAAGAGACTTTGCACAATTACCTTGATATGTTTGAGAAAATAAAAAAGCAGCTCAGCTCTCAGATCATAGTAAACATAGTAAGTGTATATATGAATACACACTATAATCTACATTTTTTACCCCACAGAATAGCCAGAAACGTATTTGCACAGGTCTATCTAAAGGGTTAATGGTCCCAACTGATGATCAACCGTAAAACTGACAAATTCCACCTCTTCCCAACAAGGAAAACCACCAACAATCAAGAACTCATGATTATATTAATACATGGCTGTGTCATGGCTTTGCAATCAAAAACATGGTTATAATGGAGGTCAATGGGTAAAATACAACCCCGAACATAATGAAAGGGTAGTCAATCTGAACAATACACAAGAGTTGAATGTGTTGTCATTATAGTGTATGGCATAATGAAAAATGCTTGCTTACATCCACGACAGGATTCTCTGGAGGTCGGTCCAGTTTGCGCATCTTCCCTTTGATCTTGATCTTCTTTCCTGGTTTACCTTCATCACCCATCATCAGCTCCCTTTAAGAAAGAGAAACAGAAGATGTATGTGCATTTTCTCACACTTGAAGGAACACCAAGTATCATTTCACAATTCCCCTAGAGTTAAGTTTGAGTTGAGTTTTAACATTTCATTGGATTTGAATCCATTGAGACAATCTCCAGGTCTAGTGTAAGCACCTTTACCTTAGCTTAGCATAGATCATTAAATCGGATTAGACCATTGGCATCTTAAATTAATAAAAGCAATCAGACAATTTTCCTATTTAAAGCTGGACTCTTCTGAAGTTACATCGTGTACCCAGAGCGATGGAAAATAAAAAGTTGCCATGTTGATATGGCTAGGAACTATACTTCTATTCATGCGTAATAATCAAGGAACTTTGTTGCTGTACCATGGCTGCAGCAGGAACACAAATATTACGCAACTCTAGTTATCTAGTTGCACAAAATAATATATTTTGAAGCAAGCTGGAAACCTGTAACCATTGACTTCCATAGAAGTCGTTTTTCCTACTATGGATGTCAATGGTTACAAGTTTTTAACTTCTTTTGTGTTCAAAAAAAGAAACAAACTTGCAAAGATTTAATTTGACTTGAGGGAGAGCAAATAGGGTGCAAATTGTAAGTAAAATAAGTAAAATAAAACTTTAATTTATTTATTAATTTCTTTATTTGGGTTAAATCACTAAAGTTGCAGCTGGAAATAAAATCTAAACTTTAATCAATTAAGAAACAGGGTTTATGCAGTTTCACTAATTTAAATTTAAGACTTAAGATATATATTTTAGGACAGTCATGAGTAAAACTTTAGAGTTATACAGGACTAAATACTAAGGATTTTTTTTTAGATTTCCCAGTTATAAAAGATTTTCACTTGCCAACATGATTAAAATGTAAAACAAAAATACAAAAAAATATATTTTTTAATAATAATTAATACAAAAATAATAATTTTGTTTTTTCAATAATAATTTAAATTTTATTAATTTTCAAATAGAACAATTTACAAACCCTATAACCATTATCAAGAATAGAACAAAACAAAGCTGTCAATTGCTGAGGTCTATAATAATAATAATAAAATCAAGAAAATTTCAGTAGATTTAAGACCTAAAATTTAGCTTTTGAGATTTAAGACATTAGGGCGTTAAGACCCCGCGGACACCCTGAAGAAAGATATCTTACTTAATTGCTAAAATTTATAATGAAATCCAAAATTACAAAAATAAAAGCCAACTCGAAATATTAATATCAATGTTTAATAAAATGGACCCAAAATATACTAAAACAGAAACAAATAGAAATCAAATAGTACCATTTAAGCTTTTCTAAATGTAATATTACAAAATAATAAAATTAAAAAAAATTATATTATAAGCAAAAATAAAGTATGAATAAAAACTAGAGCAGTGAATAAACAAAATCTAAAATAAAGTAAACGTGAACGGCAGTAAAATAAAGACAAATGGAAAAAAAAAACTACTTATACAAAACTACAACTTTAACTAACAGAGAAAAAAAAAGACAAATTCTAAATATTTCAACAATAACAGATAAATTTAATAGTAATAAAACGAATACTAAAACAAACAATTACATTATCCACCAAGATAATAACAATGATGATGATGATGATGATAGTTACTTGAATCATTCTGTTTGTGTTGTCAATATTAATGTCTATGTACATGTATATACCTGTGGTTCCAGTACTGCAGTTTATACGTGTCATAGTCTGGTAAATCCATATCCTCCAACTCCCATGTGGCTTGATCATATGTTAAGTCCCTCCATTTGATGAGGTAGTGACAGTTGTTCTTCTTATCCACACTAAAAAGAAAGTAAACGGCACACGTAAATCCATGTAACTGATCGAAAATGAGTCCAGAGATGTGGAGTTCAACTGACCTGTGGTTCAGGATTCGATGAATGACCATCCACTCCATCTTGATGCCGAAGCGGTAGTACTTCTCCTCCATCCGTGCGTATGTGGGGTCTTTTTTCTTTCTCTTGTCGCTCTTCTCCTCTTCTCCTTCACCTCCGAAGTCTATGGGGGGAGGTTCGTCCATGTCGTTCTTGCGCTGGTAGTTTCTGAACATCACCTGACAGTGAATCTCCAGCTGGAAACAGCAAGAGAAGTAAAAACTCAAACTAGGTGCAAATTCTGCCAAAATGACAAATAGTAATTAACAATTCTCTGGATGCACATAGTAGATTAAATCTTAATCTAATTAAAGGTGCTGTATGTAAGTTTTTGACTCTTCTAAGGCAAACATGCTAAATGAACATTCTTGTTTTTCTGGAAAACAATGCCGAAGTCAGATATTGTGCTTTGAAAACGCGAGTTACGTGCCAGAACGTCTGTCTTCGTTTTGGTTCTTTTAACCCGCCCACTGCCAGTTTAGCCAATTATATTTCAGCACCCTGGGTTGCCTTGATGAAAAACAGTGCATTTGATTCATTCAGTCATGAAGGCTCTCAAAGTGTGCATCTGCGACCAAATGCGACCTCCGGTGGACAGTAGCAGACTCCGAAATGAAACGCAGATTGAGAGTTCCACATGGTGGTTATTCATTACAAATAATATAAATATTACGAACGTAAACATTAGGTGAGCAGGTTACATTGTAACCCCTGTCCTAACAACACATTATGAGATTTGCAGTGATGAGCAATTTGGCTGTTTGCACCAGACGAAACATGACAGAAATGTAAATACAGCCATTTAGAAGCACAGAATGGTGCACTCACTGCACTCCAACAAAATGGTAAGGTTTATAATCAAATTCATACATATTAGGCTTCTTTAACACTATTAAACGTACATGCTTAATCACTGAAATGTGTTGGCTTGCATGTTTGCACAGTTCTAAAGTTAAATTTCAAACTAAATTATAAATTTTTTTCCAGATGTGAGGTGAACTACCTGCTGCTGCTGCTTTCAGTAGTATAGCAATAAATGTCATATAAGATGGTATTCAAACTCACATTATTAGCATTTAACACTGAATAAAGCACATAAGGTGTACCTGAGGCAATCATAGTTTTCTATTGTTCAGCAGCAAGAAATTAAAGTTATTTCTAAAATATACATTTCAAATCCTTTTACATAATATGGAAAATATTCCTTCTATCACGTGCCATTGCTTTTATTTAGACATGGTTTAAAACAGCCTTTAGGCTCAACAGTCAGGCACACTGCTGTTGGGGTTGTCAATCTGGCAACCCACGCCTGCATTTGTTTTGAGCCAGGTGTGCAATACCTAGTTCAACCACTGCAATACCTAGTTCAACCACTGTGTGTAAATCTTTCATTCTGCACCTTTAAGTGATAATAACAACGATCATCATTTAAAACAAAAAATTAAAGGGCAATTGCAAAGAAATAAAGTCCAAACCAATCATAAATGCACTCTCTAAAAATAAGTTAGAGAATAAATAAATATAAGCAAAATAAATATAAGCAAGAATAGTAATAAATAATAAGCAAGAAGAGTAATAAATAATAACTAGAATTGTACATTTCCTAAAGGAAATGTGAATGGGGTTTGCGTGGCAAATCGATGGGGTACAAAATGGTACTAAACTGGGCAATAGAACAACATGCTAATCGAGTTTAATAATTACAAAAAAATAATATATATATATATATATATATATATATATATATATATATATATATATATATATATATATATATAATTATTAACCCAAAATAAATTAACATGTTCATTTTAAATGTATTAATTAAAAAAAACTATTTACATTTACATGAAAAAAAAAACTAAAAAATATTTTGAAAACTTACATTGTGGATTTCTCTTTATAATAATAATTTATATAATGATACATTTAAGTAAAAACCATTAAAGCTTACATTAAATTAAAAGTGTTGAATTTTACAGCCAAAATGCATCACAAAAATATCCGCATTTATATATTTATGCAATGAATAAACACAAAAGGGTACATACAATAGATTAGCTTAATTTGAATTATTATAGAAATGTATTTATTTTAATACATAATTAATTCAATAATCACATATTAATTAAACATTTAAGATGACACTATTAAGTCCAGTAAGCAGTACCTGCAGCTCAGTAACCCAGGAGCAGTGCCAGTAGGACATATTCTGCCATTTAACGAAGAACTCTCTCTCAGGACGTCCAGCCAGAGGTGTGGGGTCAGGAGCATCAGTTGGCAGGTCAGAGGGACGTGGGACAGGGGTCGGCGGTGGAGGTTCAGTCCAGCGCCACGTCAGAATCTTCTGCACTTTACCTTTCATAGAGGGACACTGGAGAAACAAACACATGAGGGCTGTTACTATCACCATCCACTGAATGAAGATTAGCATGGCAAGAGTCTGATCTAGATTTCCTAAACAGATTATACAGTATAATACATACAAACAAAATCAATGGTTATTTCAATTTATATCGAGTCAAAAAGGAGGTTAAAGTGGCACGCATTCACATTTTTGAGCATATTTGATTATATGAAATATAGTTTGTGCTATTTTTACATATTATGAAGTGCCAATTTTTATTACATATACAAAATGTAAAATAATAAAAACATCAATAATAATAATAATAATAATTCAACAGTAGGTTCTTGTTCCATTATTTCTATGCAAATAATTATTACAAAATTTATCTTTGTACATTTGAGTCCTAGTTATTTATCCATATATATATATAAATATTTAGGACAAATAAAATTATATTTATGCAATTAATTTTGTTCATGTACTTGAGCATTATGCTTCTTTTCTATATTAGTCAAATTCAAAATAAATAATTATATAATAATACAAATAAAATAATAATAAAGTAGGTTCTTAGATCAATTATTTAAATGCAAATAATTGCTAGAAAATATATTTTTGTACATTTGAGTCTTAGTTATTGATTCAAAAATGTAAGTCAGACAAAAAAATGTGTATTTATGTATTTAAAAAATGTTCATGCACTTGCACAATTGTTTAATTTATATATTAGTCAAATTAAAAAAAACATGTAATAATAACATTTAAATAATAATTATTATTATTATTATTATTATTATTATTATAATAAAGTAAGTTCTTAAGTCAATTACATGCAAATAATTATTTGAAAATATAATTTTGTACAATTAAGTCTCAGTTATTTATCCAAAAATGTAAGTATGACTCTGAAAAATGAATATTTCTGTAGTCAATTATGATCATGTACTTGTGAAATAATATTTAATTTATATATTAGTCATTAATAAAAATAAAGTAAAATTCATTCATTCAAAATCAATTATGATTATGTACCTAAGCATTATGTTCTATTATGATTAGTCAAATAATAATAATAACAATAATAATAATAAAAATGAATGTTTATATAAATAATAAATTATATTAATAAAAAATGTTTATACATAATGTTTATGTCATAGTAATATATAAAAATATAAGTTCCATTTAAATGAATATATTTTAAAAGAATAGTCCATATATACATACATACATGAGACTGCATATCTGTTATAAATGTATATTTTTACAATCAATTAGATGCAACAATTACTGTGCAATTTACCAATGACATGCCTGTTATACAGGAGTTTATAAAGGAAATATAAAGGATAGAGAACAATTATACATGTCCTTAATTTAAAATCCCTAACACCAACGCATGTTGAGTCCCAATCAGATTTATAGTTTTAAGATTTGAAAAAAAAATGCATATTAACAAAATTTTATATATGTACATAATTTCTCATATTAACATTTATTACAAACTATTTACGAAGTCATAAAATCAACGTCTTGAAAACAGTCTGACCTCAGACCTTTAAGCTCTAGCATGTTTGACTCACAGTGCAGCGAGGGCAGATCCACTCTCCGTTGGGGATCTCGGGCAGCGGTGGGTTCAGGCAGTGGATGTGGTATGACGAAGGGCATGAGTCGCAGCACAGCAGCTCTCCGCCATCCTTACAGACTCTGCAGAACTCCATGTGATGGTCGTCTTCTTCGGCCTCTCCTCCTGCCTCATTATCCTCCTCGCCCTCAGACGCGTCTTCACGAGCCTCCCACTGGATGCCCATCTTCTCCTGGAGAAGCAGGGGATGGTTTAACACTTAAATTTTACTGGCATCTATGTTAATTAAGCTTGCTGGACAAAAACAAAAGGGCAAACGGTGCAATCTGAGATTCATCCGGTTCACTCACGCAGTGTGGGCAGCTCCAGGTACCCTCAGGGGCCTTCTCCATGTCGGGGTCCAAGCAGACCATGTGATAGGCCCGTGGACAGGTGTCACAGAGAATGATCTCACCTCCCTGCTGGCAGACCTCACAGTAATCCTGATGATCTGTCTCATAGCCATCACCATCTTCATCTGCTAACAGAGCAAGAGAAAATAGGTGAGAGACTGATGGAGTAGGGCCCTTTCAATCTGACCATGCAGAAAAGGCAGATGCAATCCTGTCATGAAAATGGCTATGACAGTATAATGTGGAACAGCAAGACCCTTTTGGATGAACTAAATAAAAGGGAGTAGACTCAATCAAATCGTGACAAACTACCATCTGTGAATACTAAAATGCAAAGAGACGAATGCTGCATGTGTGAATATGCGAAGCGATTTCATCTATTGGACAAAATGCTCAGGGTTTTATGTGTCTGAATTTGGAAAGCAACAAAAGCGAAAACTATTGTTTTTTAGGATTCTCAAAATCTATCAATTAGACATGTTTTCTATTTACTCAAATCCTTTTAAACATTAGAAAGAGGAAATTTTGAGGCTTAATTGTACTTGTACTTTTAATTAACTCTTAATTGTAATTGTACTATTTTTTATTCCAAAAAATAATCAACAATGCACTCTTGGCAAACGTACTACCCTTTCATTATGTTCGGGGCAGTTTTTGCCCTCATTGACTTCCATTATAACATTTTGAACAATACACAAGAATTAATTTGTGGCAATAAAATATAACATTTTATGCAATTCAGACACATTAAGATGTAAAATACAATCCAGAAAAAATGAATTGTAAAAAGAAAGAGATTTATAAATTAAAACTTTGTTAATTTCATTGTTGTTCAACTGATATGATTTCTATTACTTAGTAGGCCTGTCACGATAAGGATTTATATACATATGCATGTATATATATATATATATATATATATATATATATATATATATATACATACACACATACATGTATACATACATACATATATATATATATATATATATATACACACACATGTATACATACATATATACATACATATATATATATATACACACACACACACACACACACACACACACACACACACACACACATATATATATATATATATATATATATATATATATATATATATATATATATATATGTGTGTGTGTGTGTGTATATATATATATATATATGTATGTATGTATGTATGTATGTATATAGATAATGTATTGTCGCATAAATTGTTGCGATAAGCAATATTATTGTGCTTTTTTAGATAATTTTATGCCACTGATTAATAATATAATGATTATATAACAGCATAATAACGCTGTTAATATTATTTAAATTCTATAATTTAACGTTAAAAAGGTAAATCTCCTATTATATACTATTAAATATCCTATTGGGTAAATGTTCTATTATAAACTTTGACACTGGTGAGGTAGAATGTAAATGTCATTGTAAAATGGATTTAACGTTATTTGTGAATTTGTAAATATATATTGCAACAGCAAAAATGAGTAAGATCATCTCCAAGTAATGCAAGATAAGTCAATATATTGATTATTGTGACAGGCCTATTACTTAGACATGGTATTTATTAACAAATGTAATCGTTATCACAAAGCAATCGTTAAAAATGAACAAAGAAACATTGCTAAAAATCTACTTTTTGGACTTTGATCAATTAGACAAGCTTTCCATCTACTTAACTGTAACATAAATATTACAATGGAATATAGAAAATATGCGGAAAATAAAAAAACTGTGACTTATCATTTCAGAAAGGCTTGAAAAGGTAGCACATGAACATACTTGGTACTTTTGACTAGTGACTATATTTCAGCTTCATTTGTGTCTGTCTCCATTACTGACTGCTGTTTATTTGATGTAACAAATGAGAAGCAGACATGCATGTCAGAGCGGTGGGCTGGGAGCTCATTTGCATTTAAAGCCACAGGTTACAAAAACAGCTACAATGTCCTTAGACACCAAAATGGGAAGATTGTACATTATATAATAAATGATCTGATGGGTATTTTGAGCTTAAATTTTACAGACACATTCTGGAGACACCATCGTCATATCTTCCATCTTGTAAAAGGGGTAAAGTAGATGCCCTTTAAAATGAGGAGACCTTTTTGTTTTAATTTGTGGCAAGAAAATACAGATTTTTAATTCAGACACATTAAAGTGTAAAACGCATTCCGGAAACAAATTAATTGTAAAAAGAAACAGATTTATCATTTAAAACTGTCAACTGCTATGATTTATATTAGTTAGACATTAAAAACTAACACAAATGAACTAAATCCAAAAAAACTGAAATGGAAATTATTAGTAACTCATGACAGCTCAAGTGTATATTAATATTTAGTGGAAGATCTCACACAAATTTTGGCTTTTCCAAGTATGTTTAACATTTTCAAGAGCCAAATTTTTGTACAAGTCAGTTCTCAAAAATCTAAAACTAGAACATATTTGCTCATTCTCAAAATTTTTATAACAATAATAAGATGCTTTTTCGACAACAGTTTGTCTAATACGTTCACAAGATTCAGAAAAGAGAGTGAGATCCTCACCCTTTTTCGTCTTCTTTTTGGGCTTCTTTTTGGCGCTGCTGCGACTGCTACGACTATTCGATCCATTTGAAACAGACACGCTGTTAATACTGCCGTCGTCAAAGTCACTGTCCACATCAACATCATCCTCTTCACTCTGAAAAACAGAATGCGCAACATGAGCGATGCTGAAAAACAGAATCACGGTGCAATGCTCTCTGCTTCAGTCTAAAATGACCGGAAAATTACTTGAACGTCATTAGCAAGGCGCTAGGTCTAAAATTAGCACATAGCCAAGAAGAAAAAAAAAAACATTGCTTGTGGAAATTCTTAAAGCATGAGTGATTAGGCAAGATGGACGAATAATGAAGCAAAACTGAGGGGCTTACAGATGAGCGTTTCCTCTTGCTGTTGAAGCCTCCTAGTTTGATCTTCAAGGGAGCCACCTTTTTGGTTTTGACCTTCTTCTCCTGGGGTTTAGGAGCTGGTTTGGACTTCTTGCGTGCATTGGGACCTGAAATGCGCAGGAATTAGCATAAATTTTCCATGCAGCAAGCAAAACAGTGGCCAAGAAGTCTTATAAAGAACTCCTACATGCCAAATAAAGCCTGTAAGCATATGGAAATCATCTCTAGCATCTTGTTTTATTGTGGCACATTTGCATAGCAAGCTAAAGGCTCACTTTTTTGGGGGCTTTCCACTACAAAACCTAGAATTTAATAGCACACCTTGTTTGTGGGTTCAAGCAAGTCCAATACTAAAACGTGACTAGTAAACACTGCAGAGGACTGACTGGCCAGTCTGAATCATCTCTATTTGCTTCAATTGATTTACAAACCAGCTAGATTTAAATGAATGGCCAGTAAAAGCAACTGTATGATTATTTTAAATGCCAGTCCCAACTTCAAGTGGCTGCTTTGTGGTCAGTAGACGAAGTGCAGATATACTTCTGGTTGGTAATGATATATCTATAAATCACGCCCACTTTGTAGTACTAAACTACAGTGTAAAAAAATTAAAAAGGAAACTGTGGCAAAGTAAATTGAGCCGAATTACGCAGGGCTAAAGCAGCTTCAGAGGTTGAATAATTCTTTATAATCTGCATCGGATATGCACTAGCATTTGTTTGGGTTTTGTAATATTTATCAGAATATTAAATGAAAAATAGAGTTTGCTTGTTTTTTTCAAATAAATGGTGTTCTTTTGAAGAATCTCAAAGCTCTAAGCTTTTCCTTTTAAATCAATGGTCACCAAACTTGTTCCTGGAGGGCCGGTGTCCTGCAGATTTTCGCTCCAACCCTAATCAAACACACCTGAACAAGCTAATCAAGGTCTTACTAGGTACACTTGAAACACCCAGGCAGGTGTGTTGAGGCAAGTTGGTGCTAAACCCTGCAGGGACACCGGCCCTTCAGGACCGAGATTGGTGACCCCTGTTTTAAATGATGATTCCCCCATTTTAGAAAAATATATTATTTTCTGCTTTAACAGCAGCTAAAAATGTAAGTTTTACGTTGGCAGCCTCCACACTCCCTGGACCGGAAACACTGGATGTATATGTTCTTGGACATCACAAATATGGAACTGTCTGTGGCTAGGATGCATGGCGCTTCTACAAAAACTGATACTTCATGGTTATGTGCAATAACTAAGATAAAAGATTTGCTATTGTAAATTTTTTCTTAGTATTATATTTAACCTATGTGTGAAAGTCAAATGTATCTACCTTTGTTAAAAGTCTTCTTGTACGAAGTTAAATGCAGAGGTTAATTTATTTCTTTATTTATGTATATATATGTGTGTGTGTGTATGTATGTATGTATGTGTATACATAACCATGAAGTATCAGTTTTTGTAAAGCGCCATGCATCCTAGCCACAGACAGTTTCCATATTTGTGATGTCCAGGAACATATACATCCAGTGTTTCCAGTCCAGGGAGTGTGGAGGCATATATATATATATATATATATATATATATATATATATATATATATATATATATATATATATATATATATATATGTGTGTGTGTGTGTGTATGTATGTGTGTATGTATGTTTGTATGTATGTATGTATGTATGTATGTATGTATGTATATATATATATATATATATATATATATATAAGCATTATTCAAAAAGCATTTTTAAAAATATCACAAACACCAAACTTTTTGCATATCTTAAATTATCTTCTGTGCTCACTTTTGCATGTGAAATGATCAGCAACGGACTGTTTTAACTGTTCCATCCTTTCCAGTAACCATTAAAATGTGACTATAGCAATTTACAAACAATGTACAGTGAAACAAGTTTTGTAACACAATGAGCCCAATGCATGATTTCCATCATCTATGGAAAAAAACAACTGAATATTGTAGCAATAATAATAACAACAACAAGACTTTCAAATGAAAATGCACAAATCGAACAAACATCTCCTGAAGAAAACAGCTAATATTGATAGTTTTCATGTCACGTGACCTGAGCGGGGGAAGAAAAAAACGAATGGGCTGTAATGGCAGCTACATGGGATCTGCATAGAAATGCAGCACAAGTTGCTCATAATTCCATCGGTTTCAAGCAATTAATATTTGGATCACATATCAACAAAACGGAACGAGTATGATCACAAACTCTAAATTTTGGGCACTTACGATCCATTTACTGCACCATCAGCCATATTTTTTAGGCATTGAAAACCATCATGTCCCTGTCCGAGCTCCAATTTGGCGATATTTTACATTTATCTTGTGGATATTCCTCAGCAATTTAGTCATTGGTGATAGCATTACAGCACAAGAGTGTCTGCTTTTATATTTGGTGTTGGTTCATTTGTTTAGATTAATATTTGCTGGTAGGGAAAAATCTATTCATTCACTTCTGCTATTTATACTTTGACTTTGCATTTCAGTTTATACTTAAATTGCACTTAACCTGCAAATAAAAATAGAAAGTGTATAAAAAAAAAGCATACAAAAATACTGACAGTTTTAGGTTGTTGAATTTCTCCTTTGTGGTTGGTCTTTCTATTAAGGAATTCTGTAGAAGCACAACCCAGGTGTGTCTCCTTGCCCGATAGTGTCGCTACATTTTAATTGCACATCAATTATCCAGCTTTTTGGCTTAAAAAAAAGAGAGATCACTCAGCCGGTGACTTCAATTATGTATTAATCTGTAATTAAATATTAACTATGAAAAGCACAGACACTCATATCAATCGAAAAGATACCATCTAAAATCGCTCTGTTCCTGAAGGCACACCAACAGTACATATTTTGCACATCTCCCTTATCTGACCCCTTCATTTCAGGTTTTGGAGTCTCTTCTAATGTTCTGATGAGCGGATTCAGGTGTATTTGATTAGGAAGAGGTTGAAAATGTGTACTGTTGGTGTGCCTTCAGGAACACGGTTGGGAAACACTCATCTAAAACATCAAGCAAGTCTGCACTCACCCTTGCCCTCTTTTGTCTTGGCCTTGCGAACGGGAGCTGCTGGCGTGGACTCGGGGCTGATCTGAGCTGCGGATGCAGAGGTTGGAGTTTCCGGTGGCGTTTCGACAGAGGCAGCGGCCACCAGAGATGTAGCAGAGCCCCGCAGAGGATTGTTAGTGCTGAACTCCCGCCACTTCGCTCCCAGAACCATCATCATCTTGGAAACCGCAATTTTGGGGTTCTTGGCTGCGATCAGAGGCCTGTGGAATTGCATGGAGTAGATCACGATTAAAGTACACATGAAATCAAAACTAATCATATTGATTTTGTTAGCTCACATTGCTAGTTTTGTAGTGAACAATTCACCTTGTAGTCTTTATTTGAAATCTGAAAATGCACTTCCTGTATGAGTATGAATGTCTTAGGTGTTGGGCGTGGCTAACATTTAACCACGCCCCTCCATCTGTCAGTTTTGACAGCAAACAGAAATGGTGAGGAGGAGGAGGAGTCTGTTAGGTTGTGATAACTCTCCTCAAACCCTTTTCCCAATCTTTCTGAATGAAATGCATACTTTACATCCAATCAGCTCGCAGTAGAAAAATAAGCCACGCCCAGTTTTCCTCATTTAATATTTTGTTTGTCTAGAGCTGTGGACTAAATGGCACACAATACACTATGCTCTTATCCACTATGTACTTATGCACTTACACACTCAACAGCATAGTATATGAATGTAGTCTTATTCCAAACGGAAAACTATCGTTTTTTTTACTAAGCAAAAATTCTAACCATTTCCCTGAAGATGTTTGTCGATTGCCAAATTAGAGAAATAAACGTCCAAACAACCAAATAATACCATACTTCCATGAGTATAACCGCATTCACCACCGAGAGGCAGTGTAATCACTCTCGTAGGGGAATTTTGCTTTCACAATCCAAAATAAATAAAGTAATACAACATCATTGCCAGAAAGCTCCGCCCCTTCAGCTACGTGAGCAAAGCTGTGGCTGTTGAGTGCGTGAAGTGTCCATCAGTCCACACTTCATTTTAATGGTTGAATGAGTGCATCATTTGGGAATTTAAAGTGCACTTATTATTTTGGAAGTTTTCAGTGTAAACGAACTACTTGCACTATTTATACTACAAAATCTAACGGAGTGGTTCCCAGTGGGGTTTTGGTAAGTTTTAAAATGAGCCAAATCTTGGTTTAAATAAAGTAATGAATTGAAATAATGCACTTGGGGTGCCTTCACACCTGTAAATCGATTCAGTTGTTCCGAAACAGGGATTAAAAATGTTACATTGTTGCATTTGTTCTTGGTGAGGTTCGCTTTCACACTGCAAAGTTTCTAATCGGACCAAAAGAGCTAAAACAAGTCACATGTGAGTAAACTCTCCTAACATTGGTCAGAGTGTCAGGGTTTATTTTGTTTATTTCCCGCTCAGCTGTTAGGAGAGGTGGTGGTTTGGTGGTGTTTGACAAGGTGTGCCCGACGTGTCTGAAGAGTGAGGAGAGATGCGGTGGGGAGGGGTGAGAAGGGTACACGACGTAGCCTATTTGAGGACCGGGAGGGATATGCTAGATTACCGGGAAATTATCTTCCATAAAACACTGAGTGACCGCGCTCAGATCGTATCACTTTCTCACGGCAATCAAACCGCTCCAGAGTTTGTTTCATTCGAGCCGAGACCACCTCATTCAAGCGATCTCGGAGCGATTGATTTGGTGCAGATCTGAGAGCGATTGGTCATTTCCCATATGCCAAATGAACCGCGCTTACTGGGCAAACGAGACAGGCTCCGAAACAAAAGTGTAGGTGTGAAAGCACCCTTAGTCCTGGTTCACTTAGCATTTGTGCTGTTTTTCCTCAAAGAGCAAACCTAAAGGTACAAAAATCTTACATGATGAATATTTTGCAACTGAACTCATCAAACATCTGAAACAATTCTGTGTGCTGAAGTTAATGTGTGCATCGTATGTGTGTACATATCAGTGGAGAACTCGTGAATAGTTTACAAAATGTGTAAAAGACTAGTGACATGAAGAACCAGGTATGTTTGGTCATGGCCATTTTTATGTTCGATATTGGTATGATCTTTTGATATTGTGTGTTATTTTTGCTTTGTTTGGTTTACAAACCAACATTTTTGGGTTGGAGCAAAAATGTGCAGGGCAACAGCCCTCCAGGAATCGAGTCTGAGACGAATGATTCAGAACTTCAGATTTAGTTGCCTATGGGAGATGTGCCTAGGAATAATAAACGGCAGAAAACGGTCAAACTACTTCCTCTACAAACATGTTCATGACTATACACAAAAAGTAGAATAATGTACAAAGAAAATGTCAGTTTGCAACATGAAGCAGCATAACAAGCTGTTTTAAACATCTGAAAATCAATGGAAGTGAGTGAGACTGGACGTTTTGAGCCAAAACGATTCCAATGGCTGCGTTGACCTTATTCTTTGTACATGAAGACAAATAAACCTTTCCAAAGCAAATCAAATAGCTTTTATTGTCCTATCACCAGCAGGACATGTGCTATGATGAGTAAAGAGCTTAGGTGGAGGCTCCAGACAAAATATAATGACATAATAGACTTGGGTGGTGTCGTGTCATAGCTGGGGGCATGGCCTGGAAGAGGGGGGGCAGGTAAACGGTTCTTTCAATTTTAGATATGAATAGTGGTAACCCTTGTCACCCTCTAGTTTGGATGTTCTAGGTATGTGTTCAACCGAAACAGAGTTTAAATGGTGCACACCAAGGTTCTGGATAGCCCCATTCAAATAAACAACAGAGCAATTGGACCAGAAATCTACTCAAGACTGCCAAGTGAACACACCCTGGGATAAATGGCCTCATTTAGCAGGTAATCCAGGTAATGAACATACCTGACAAACTGGCTGAAGGCTTTATAGTTGGTCAGAGTCCTATAATCTTCCTCGGTGAAAATATGGTCGATGTCCTCCATTCCCCAGGTATCCAAAAGCTGAGAGGAACTTTTTGGTTCCTAAAAAAATCAATTCAGAATTCACTAACAGATCTTGAAGGATGTTTCCATTCAACAATTGTAGTTAGTGCTGTACTCTTGAGTTTTTTTACTTAATAAATTGATCTGTTAGGTTGCCAATACAGGAAGTACTAATCTTCAATCTTACAAATACTCTTGTATTGACATTTTATTTTACATTCGTAAGGAATGTTTTGGTCTCAAAGCCTTCCTCAGTAAATTTGTGTCTGTTTCCTGACGAATAAAAGTTCAAAACAAGACTATTCGTAGGAGTGCAGATTACTACTTCCTGTATTTGTGTCAATAATTTAATTAAAATCTCATATGAACTCACAGAATCGTCATCATCCTCGTCTTCCTCTTCCTCCGGTTCCCTCCGTTTGGAGGCAGCAGAGTTTCTCTCTGCGGCAGAACTGTTTCGCTTCTTATCCTTCGCTGTGCTGGCTCTCTTCTTCTTTTTTCTGCCTGGTGTGTAGTCACTACCTTCACTTTCCGAGCGGTCCTCCTCACCATCGTCCAGATCTGGGCCTTCACCTGGTTCTGGAGAACTGATGCCAATTTCCTGAAGACACATGGGAGACATTCCTGATAAGTTTTGGATGTTAGTGATAAAGAAATGAACCTATCAATACACCGTGCATAAGATTTCAAGTCAACATTTATATATACCTCTTTGTCCACCATTTAAAGTTTTTCAGGTTTTTCATGTTTTATATGGCAGGGGGCGCCATTACAGAGTACAGCATCTCATTATCCAAAAACGAGATGATGATCTGTTTTATTCATGACTTATCTATGCACATGTAAGCTAACTTGATCAAACATTTAACAGCAGCATGTACCGCCTAGCATTACCAAATGAAATGTCAAATCCACGAAGAGCCATGAAAGCGCTGTGATCCAAAATATTGGCACTTTTTTCTTTTAATATCATTTTTATATTACTTAATACACCATGCTGCCAACCTCAACTTTCGGTATTGACCCGTTTATATGCTTGATTTGTAAAATAAATGCACATCATATGGTGTTTGTTGCACAATATGCGGGTTATAGTGAGGTTTATTTTTATTTTTTTTTATTTTTGTATTGTTTTTTTCTATTTGTTCTGTTATTTTTTCTTTTACTTTTGTTTATAAATCAAAAATCTGATAAATAAATCTTATAAAAAAATACATTATATTTAAAAACAATTACATCAAATAACATTATGTCAGAACTAGTAAATAATTTCTATTTTATATATTTTTTTAAATTGTAAAATTTGGCACTGGCTGAAAATTCTTTGAAATAACGCTGGCAGAAAAAAAATGCTGGGCGGTTTGTTTTTAAAGCATTAAAATGACGCAATAGTGCTAGTAAAAACATTTATAATGTTACACATAATTGTGTGAACCTTACATTTACAACTATTATTGAAAGAAAAGGCCAGCTTCAAACAAATATGTTAAACAGAATTGTTTTTAAAAGGTAAATGTTTAAGCAACCTGATTTCTGTAGGATCATGTGACAATAAGGGTGCTTTCACACCTGCCTTATTTAGTTCGGTTGAATTGCATTAGAGTTTGTTTTCCCTCTTGGTGCGGTTCGTTTGGGCAGGTGTGAAAGCAGCAATCATACTTGAGTGCACACTAAAAGCAGACCAAACAAGCGTACCGAGACCTGCTTGAAGAGGTGGTCTCGGTATGCTTTCAAACGAACCCTGGAGCGTTTCGTTTTTGGTGACAATATGATCCGTACTAAAACAGACCCAACCGCAAAAAGTACTGAGCCTTTTGGACTAATCCAGCTGCCGTAGGCCGATGCGCTGTGCATTATGGGATATGGAGGAAAAATATTTGTTGACAGCACTTTACCAACAGAGAGAGCGAGGGGAAAACATTACCTGATGGATCATTAGTAATATTTCCACAAGATGACCATGTTGCAGTTTAGCTAAATGAATTCACACCTCCTCCTGAAGTGACGTGCGATGCATTAAAACATTGTTTTCCAGTCACGGCCGCGCTTCATTCTCGAAATGGATAGTTTGTCTAAAGTGATGTATGCTAACTATATAGTAGACTATGAGCAGAGATTTAATCTGTCAGCGCAGTCGTCCCTCTATAGTAAAAAGCAACATTTTGTGTCTGCCGGTTTGTTTACTTGCGGGAGTTCATTGGCATTTTCCCGCAGGTAAATTCTGACCAATCGATAAGCAGTTTAGGAACTATGTTCAACAACATCTGGCCAATGAGTGATGTGGACTGTGATGATGAGTGCATTTTGGTTCTTTTCAACTGGTTGTGTGAAAACGTGTGGTGTGAAAACGACCCAAAGATGGCAGAAAAAGCAGCAACGTATCATTTACTGCCCTTGGTTCGGACTAAATTAAGCGAACTACAGATTTGAAAGCACCCTAAGGGTGTACTCATAGTAGGATATCTGAACCATGCCCAAGCACGCTTGGTTGTTTGACAAGTGTGAGTGTGGTTCAGTTCGCTGGCCCTGGCCTGGTTGGATGAGGTGTGCTAGAGCGTGGTCTGCTGGTAGTGTGAGTGCAAAGAGCGCCTAAAGCCGAACGCGTATGTTCAGATGCAGCTTTTCCATGGTCACAGACTCCTCACCATGGCTAACGCGCCCCTCTCAAAAAAATTTAACTACTCACGCAATGACAGGAAGCACAAGCTCTGGTTGGCTTGGTAAAGCTGCGGAGTGTGGGAAGAGGTGAGAGCCACATGAGCCAGATGGAGCGAGTGCTTACAAGTGTCGAGGCTCTGGAAGGAGCTCTAGATGGAAAGTTTAGTTTTGTGTTTACCTTATGATTACAGTTGTTGCACGTCCGCTGATTTCTGCCTCAAAATGAGCAAGTTTGAGCCACTTGTATATTAAGGTAGCGTTAAGAAAAAACAAAACACCAGCGAAGAAACTCGACACAAAGGAACATAAACACACAGAAGTATAAATGCACAGCTACGCACATTGCAGGTGCCGTGGGTCAAGCCGATCACTTCTGCTTCAAGCGCACGTATATGATCCCATATCCCTCGGCGTGGCTGACGCGCACATCAAAACATGCAATTACACGTCGCAATGACTTGTAGCGCAAGCTCTGTGATTGGTCATCTTGGTAGTGCTAACGAGTGTGGACAGGGGTGAGAGCCGCGTGGACCTGTTGGAGCAGGTGTATACAAGTGTCGAATCCCGTGAAACTTTTGTTTTGCGGTTAACCCTTTACGTTCACCGGTTCCTGCCTCTGAATAAGCGAGTTTGAGCCACTTGTACATTAAGGAAGCATTCAGAAAAAAAAAAAAAAAGAAAAAAAAATCGACACAGAAGAACATAAAAACCTACTGCCAGCTAGAGTATCAGAACTGTTATCGCAGAGCAGCACAAACAGTGCGCAGAAGTGTAAAAGCCCAGCAAAACACAAGGCACGCACCATGAATCACGCCAATCACTCAGTGCATAAGTATAAATCAGCTTTGAGTGCTTTTATATGGACTTATGAATCATTTTTACTTTTCAATGAACGCAAACTGTCACAGTTTATTAAATATGCAAGCCTCTCGCTGCACGTCAGCTGCCACCTTCAGCAAACTTCCTAACGCATGATGACTTTATGAAAGTTTATGAGCAACAAAAGTGGTGGATCTGTCCAGCAAAAGATTTGACTGTGTCACCGCACTACAAACAACTTAAAATAATACCACTAAAGCAATCTCCACTGTACTGAGCGAAAGCGCTTCTCTTCCTAACCGTCCCATCAATGATTTAAGTGTGCTCAGGCTCGAAGGGTAAAATGCAATGTGAGTGCTGGCCGTCAGGGGAGAGGGGACAATCATGTACCGGCACAGTTCAATGCAACTGTGCCTAGTGTGAGTACACCCTAAAAGACTGGCAAAATCATGATAAAAATTCAGCTTTCAAAACGCAGAAATAAATTATATTTTGACATTAAATAATGATAATAATTCGATAATAGAAATAAATCAGAGAATATTGAATAATAAATTACCATTTATAAAGAATGATGCACTGTTGGATTGTAGGACTCCAAAGCTACAGCAGAGACCTAGCATTATTAAATGTACAGTTTTTATATGACATAATAGTCATGTTATTCAACTTATCATGTATGAATAGTGAACGCTTGCTTCCTGTATATCAGGGGTGCCTAAACTAGGTCCTGGAGGGCCGGTGTCCTGCAGAGTTTAGTTCCAACTCTTTCTAGGCGTACTAGAAACTTCCAAGAAGGTGTGTTGAAGAAAGTTGGAGGTAATTTATGCAGGACACCAACCCTCCATAACCGAGTTTGGGCCCCACGGCTGTATATCATTAATTACTGTTGACATTTTCCATGGCCAGTATGGAAAATTAGGTGGTTTTCGGCTTTCTGGCATGAAAGCATCATATTGGAAATCAAATGAAAGTGAAAGTAAAATGTGCTACGGTAAATACCCCTTAAAGTCAACATAAACGTTACTCATGACAGCACATTTAGCATGTAATTTTGGTTCATTTAAGTTGAGATAAACATTTATAACTATGCCTACAATGTACATAGTTGAAAAGCAGCAATACAGAAATTATAATGGCTAATGATACTCAAACATTGAGCAATTTTAGGGCAGGATACCAATATATAAAAAACAAATACTTATAGTTTTACTGTATTAATTATTTAGTGAAACGAGAGGCTTTTTAGTGAACAATTCTATTTAGGGCAGTGCAATTTGGGCAAAAATTTTAATTGTGATTTTTTTTTACATGTTACGATTTCGATTTGCGAATTAATCTTTAATTTAATTTTAATTTCACAGCCCTAATTCTATGTGATGAATATTTGCAATTTCTCGCACACAAGTTATTTTTTTAGTACATTTATAAAGCAATCAACTTTATACTTAATTAATTTCACAATAATTATTGTTCCAATGCAGCTTTACAAAAGATTTTATAACAGCATAATCAAAATAATTCAACAATCTTTAGTCTTCACTGTTTACTACTGAGCATGTCCTTTAATATAGCCAAATACAAAACAATCAACTTTCCATTAACATCAAGCCATAAATGCATGATTATTATAAGAATTAACGCAATTCATTACTATAAAGTTTTCAAATAAGAACACAATGCCACACTGTACACACTACACAATCAATATTATCAAAATATTAAACTATCCCAACATTGGAATAAATCTGCTCTGTTTTGCAGCTTTTAAGCTAAAAGTCAAGGTCAAAGCAGTATAAAGTTATCTGATCTACTGAGCCTAGCAACGGCTGAGCGCTTCCAGCAATATTCTACTAATAACTGTTATTGCCCATTGTGACTGTCTATGACAGCTTCCCAGTTCTCAAGCAAACAAGCTTTTAACATTACAAAAACTGCTACAATAAAATTATGAGCTACAAATAGACCAGTCACGATGTCTATTTTTTGTAGTATGATATATTGCACCAAAATATACTGCGAGAAACCATATTATTTTCATTTTTAAGACCATATTATGCAAGATTGACAATATAATAGCATCATAACGCAAGTGCACTCTTCCAAAGAACATATAATATTTCATTCTTAAGAATATTTCATTTAATTAAGGCCATTTAAAAATATATATAATTAGGCATTGGAATCAGTATGAGAAAAGGCATATCCTAAATAAATAATAATAAATGTTAACAAAAAAGTCGGGGTAAAAAGTAACAGAGGCTGCGATATCTGCCGCCAGATCTATTTTAAGTTGTCAGGCACCCACATGAAAATATGATATAGTCATTTATAGTAAATACTATAGAGTTTTTTTACCATACTGACACCTCCAATAGAGTTCGAGAGGTTGTGCAATCAGCTAAAATAGTTTTTAATGTATGAGTGATATATATATATATATATGCATCACCAAAAATGATTGAGGTCATGTCCAGGTGTTGTGCGATAAGTTGATATTGCTTATTGTGGCAGGCCTAGATATAAACACAATTAAAATCACACATCAGTTTTAGTATTTTAAACAAAAACAAGCATCCAATTTATTTTAGCGATTTATATGATAGACTTCATGGCTGTGTTTCAACAAAAGCACTCAGTATTTTGAACAGGACGGCTGTAGATATCATTAATGAAGCAATCGGGTGAAAAAAAAATACTGAAATGATGTACCTTTTGATATTAACAGCCATTAGGACACGTTATCCCATTTGAAACACCAGCTAAATTGCTCTGTTTCTCATTAAGACACTGTGGGGGAGGTTTCTAATCCATAACATAAGGACAACAAATACTGCATTCTCCAAGGATATTATTGCGCACAAACAATATCCACACACACACTCGCAGAAAAGGCCATTACCTCTCTGCGGGAGCGATTTCTCTTGCTGCCTTTGCTCTCGCGGCTACTTTTTTTGGCTTTCTTCTTCTTTTTCACCTTTGGGGCATCATTCTCTGACAACTCCTCTTCGAGGTCGTCCTCTTCTGTGGATCAAACACACAACAAATCAATTTTCCATTATCAATGAGTGAATGATTTTCCATTTGCTTTTTACGGACATCTGCACAAGTACGATTGGATGAGTACTGATAAAAATATTTGAAAAGATTTTGTACTGAGTAAGATCTAGGCATGGACTGGTATATGATTCAGATGGTATGATAACCTCGTATAAAAATAACACGGTATTGTGATTACTACTCTAAAATATATTCTTTTTTAAATGTCTGGGTAAATAACAAAACTGTTTTCCCCTTGAACACAATTTATTTTATTTTGAGAAACATTTAAAATATTTTGGAATAGTAAACGTCAGGCTAAATAATTTTAATACATCATTAGCGATGTTTCCATCAACCTATTTTAATGCGCAATTTGCATATGTGCAGAAAAGATCGGGTGATGGAAACGCCATAATGTGCATATATTTAAAAAAACGTATGTGTATAACCGAGTACGATAAACTTTTTATTCGATAAGAAAAATGCAACTACAATGGAAACACTTTTACCGAACCACATTGTAAAACAGCTGAAAAGTTGTTTTGGTTATTCTAAAAAGCCAAAACTATTTCAGTATTAGTGTTATGATATTATTAATTGACGTTACCACATGTTTACTGCGTCATGGCATTTGTCTTCTGAGGCGCAAGTCATTTATTAAATGAAGAAAAGATTTATGCAGCTTCTTCTGCTGAAAATTTTGTTTTTACTCTTGATATCTGGCACCAGTTAATCAGGAAGTGACGATTTTGTTCTCTTAGACTCATTGGATGGAAATGCTGCTTAATTTGTAAGTCTTTTTGTGATATTCCAGTTTTACCCATAAATTTAATTTGCATCTTTGGATGGAAATGAAGCCAGTAGGGTTGCATGGTTTACTAGTACTTCAGTAGCACCGTATGGCTCCAAAATACTGCCAGTGCCACTGTAGTCTGTAAACGGTAGTATCGTCATTAATGATATCGTCAGTTAATGTTGCGTGTGAAAAAAAAAGTCACTAAAATGCTTACATATCTATGCCGGCAAATAATCAATAGACCATTTTACTTTAAATTGAACTGTCTGCATACAGGTCGTAGTTTGCTGCAGTCATGACAGATCATATGGCGTAAACAAAGATTTATTTATTTTAATATTACTATAGCAATAACAACAGAAGAGTCACAGTTTATGCAAATAAAACAAAGTTGTGAAATTAAGACATTTTCAATAATAAAGAAATTATTAATTAAATGTAAGTATTATGAAATATAGTACTTCTAACAATTTGCTGTATTTCATAAATTTGAGTTATGAATTAGTACAACATTGCTATACTACTTGATATCGTTATACTTCAACTGGTATAGTATTGTGGCCTGAATTTATGGCATCGTGACAACCCTAATAGCTAGTAACTTCTGCTGTCTTCATTAATTTCAAAAACAGATTTCTTTACAATTTAAAACAGCGTCTTTGGATGTCTGCTGGAGATACTGTTGTCATAAAAAACTAAAAAAAAACGTAATAAATAAAAAAAATCTTACATATACAGTAGGAACGCACGCAGACAATTTAGGCAGCTTTGAAACCTTGACTTTTCCAAACCGCGGTATCCCTTGAAAACAGTTATCATTCCATGCCTAGAAAGATCGATTTAATATTTCAGACTAATGTTTAGTTGAATATTTAGTCTGTATGAGCCCTACAAAAACTCAAATTTAAAAACTTTTATTGATTTTCATTATTTTGACGAGGAATTTAACATTAAATTCTGTAATTAGGCAAAGAGCTGCTCGGATTAATCCAATAAATCATTAAATGCTCTTCGTTGGCCTTTACGTTTAATCTAATAAAAGCACAGCGATAGATTAACCATCTACAAATCTATTACAATCATTGATCAGGACTGGGTAAAAATAATCTGAGGCTCTATATTTTCATACAAGCTGTCAAAATTAATTGAATGACAGATGTATTGAATGACTGAGGGGGGAGAGAGAGAGAAAATAACAGGCATTCACTATAACATAACATTTTAATCAGATAATAAATATTATTTTTGATAACAGGACTGCAAATACTGAATTTAATAATAGAAAATAGAAGTCATTATGGACTTGATTTTACCATCTCTGTTTAGGGAAGTCTCAAAGCACTGTTGTCATTATCGTGCATTATTATCCTGTCAATCCTTGACTAGGTTTTCCCATGGATGACAGTAATCGGATAAGATCTTAATGGACTTGCCTCATATTTCATTATGAAAAACAATATACTGGGTTTTCTCCAGGTATATAGAAGTAAAAGAAATATAGAAGTCACTTTGAGTTGACTAACTGCATTAAATATACTATGAACTTGCACACAATACATTTGTGTTATAAATATCCTTCCTGTAGCTGTTAAATTTAACCTTTCTTCCATTTTTAAATGAACAAGAACGAGTATTTTGGCTTCATTCTGTAAACTGAAAACCGGGCAAAGCCCCCCTTTAACCATTTCCCTCAAAAACTGGCGTCACATCCGATTCCTGCACACACTGATGTGCAAAATCAAAATATTAAGCTTAAAAGTCGGCATTTATAGACATATACTAGGTAAATTTGCGCATATTTTGCGTCAACTGTACAGGCCGACAGCGCGCGAACAGTCAGACACTGAAAATCCTCACGCGTCAAACTAGCAGCACGCGACTGTTACCGGTAGGCCGCGAAGCCGGTACAACAACAATACATCAAATATTATTATAAAACCATTCCTACTGCTCAACAATCACACCAAGACGCTCAAATTATACTACTGTGTCGTATCTGACAAATATGAGAGGATATTATTTGACTGTGAAGGTAAAAATAACAGGTAAGTCGACGGCTAGCCGCGCAGAAAAAAACCCGGCAACACAAAGCGCTGACTTAAAAACGTCAAGAGGGTGATAAAATTATATGATATCCAAAAATATAAGGTGACTTCTTCATTAAAATGACAATTCTAGTTCAATACGTGTGATATAAAATGAAATATCTAGAATCAACCCCAGTTGTTGTTTAGTTAGCCGACTAGCCATCGAATAAATGAAGTTTCACGTCAATAAACTCCAAACGACAACATAAAATGCGTCACAACTAATCGGTTTATGTCATATTTCATCCATAAACTCAATAAATGACAGCAAAACGGACCATCCGAGTGAAGTTGACCCACATACGTAAATGTAAATATTTTACCTTGCATCACAGACCGATGTTCAAAATCGTCTCTATCGTCCTCACTGCCGGACATATTGTTGATTACACCAGCCAGAGGGGATCGTGAACACTTGTATGCCGATTTTCACCTCCTCTGGTGCCTTCCTGAAGCCGGGGGAGGCAGAAAATAAAAGAACAATACAAACGGAAGTTAATAGTCACGGTAGCATGCTGATCATAGTGGTCACTCCATGCCAAAAATAAATTCGAAAAGCATGCGAATGTATATAATACTGCTGGATAAACTTCATTTTGGTTTAATGCAAATGAAAAACCATCATAAAACTTTTAAAATACGCGGTTAAAAGAAGTTATGGCCATTGAATTGGCAATTGGGGCATGCTGTGAGTGAGGCATTAGCTAAGCAGGCTAGGGACGCTAACCTGCAAAGTCTCTATAACTTTTAAGGTGTTTTAATTTTAACACGCATTAAAATGTCACAAATAGTACGAATCATAAAACAACATTAGCATAATTGACGTAGTACAGTGTAAGAAAGTGTACTCACACAACTTGACCTGTTCCTTTTTTCAAAAAATATAAAAAATAATGCAATAAAATATGTCCCCACGTTGCTTTGGCTCCTTCTCATCAACACTTAAATGCAAAGTGTGATCTTCCTGTTTCTAATGAGTAAGTAGTGAAAGTATATCCAGATATTTTTTTTTCCTCAGCTGTAGGATGCACACAACGTCGCAGTTTCTCCTTCTGCCACTTACACCCTTTGCATAGACACAAAGAGATCAGGGGCCAGACATCCCATAATAATCTCCCTCCCCATATTCACACATACACATACATACAGACATTCACCCCTCCCCCCACCGCATAGTTACCTTGCAACATACAGACCATAATAACCCCCTAACAACCGAAGGCAGACCCTCTCTTCCCCATTCCACCGTGCCCTTAGCAACAGTTGCCATGGCGACAGCCACCCCCCCTCCCACCCCTGCGAACATCCCATAATAATAAACATAGTCACTGACATCCCACAATAACCATAACTCCGAAAAAAGAATGAACGGGAACTGAGCCGGAAGAGAGAGAGAGGGAAAAAAAAAAGTCGATTAGCAACTCCTCGCCAGCCCGCTTCCTTATTACAGCACATGTACAGTAGACATTTTTGAGCGTATAAAATGGCACCTATAATCAAAACCTAAAGTTAGTGCACTTTACACCAATGGTAGTTTACCGCACAACTATTCTGTACAACAAGCACAACTTCGGTTTGGCCCTCAAAAAATGGGCCTGAATGGCAGGAAATGGGTCTGGTTCAAGGTTCAAGACCTCTCAAGTTCAAATGTCACATTGATAATGCAGCTCTAAAAGGCCTCAAAATAAAATGGCCACCTGTCTTCAACTGATAGGACAATGTTTTGCTTGGCATTTTCTAATTTCTCCTCATCTTGGGTTAAGAAAGCCATAGGCCTTTCCCATTGTCATCCTGTATCACCTGGATTTCTCTGAAAGTAAATTGACGCACATATCGAGTCCATCACATATGCATGAACACATGTACATGTGTAGAAAAAAAAAATGTAATTTGTTGGGGGGGGGGGGGGGGGGGGGATGGGGAGTGGTAGGCACCATATAGCATAATTACATATCAAAGAAATATAGAGATGGTCGTCATGACAACCCACTCAGGCGCACCCCTCCTCCACACTCTAAAGCACCAAATATTCAGTAATAATGTCTCAGCCAAAAGAAAACACAGACCATAATATTCTTCCTGTGCTGGCAGTTGTCATGGCGATATGCAAGAAAGAGGTGTTTCTGTGTGTGTCTTTTGGGGTGGGGTGGGGTGGAGGGGGGTGTTGGTGTAAGGGAGGGGTTTCAGATTACCATGCATGCTAAAATGAATACCATAATACTCGTTTTAGGCTTTCTGCTAGTTCCCTCCTCCCCCCGCAGCATCACCCCACCAAACGTGACTCCATAACTGGACGAAAAAGCCACATATGGACACCATCAGAGATGTCTACTGATAAAAAAAACTCATAAGGATGTTGGATATGGTCAAAAAACCAACAGGCCGCATATTCAGCGGCTGAGCTGGATTGTTCCTCAAATCACCAACTTGGCTTGTGCAACTATAGTCTTTTAATACACTGATAAATTGTTGCTTAGTAGTATTTCAAGGGGTTCCTGTTCATTATTAGGCTACACTAAATTAAGAATGTTCATTAATATGCACAAATCATCTGAAAACAATGGAATCTTCCTGTTTCGTGAGGTAGAAATGAAAACATCAGTCTCTCACAGGTGAATCTTCAATCACATGCAGCAAAATAAAACCTCCCAAAGACAGAAATTAACAATCGTGAGTGTGAAATTCATTCTCTTTCCTCCCCCCTTCAACCCCGGCCCCCACCCCTCCCCCTCCCTAATGGCCCAGACATCCCATAATATGCCTGACGACTACCCCCCCCTCCCTTTTTTTTTAATCTCTGACTGAACCCCACACTAAATCATGCAAAACTGCTCATATAGAGATTTTTGCTCTCTTGTGTTAGCCACTGAAGCTTTGCAGGTTCAGATTTGTTATGCCGACTAAATGTCCTTCATTTGCCTTTTGTTTTGTGTACAGTGTACATCTACGCACAATGTCCTTTGTAAATATGCAGAAAAGGGAAATAATCGGTTCTATAAGGCATACATTGTGGACATTATGAATATGACACATTTACCAAGTCATGATTGTGCTTTTTTCCCTTTTTTTTCTTCTTATTTTTCTTCTTTTTCTCCCCCCCCCCCCTTCATATTATGCAGCATTGCGATAAATACATTTTAACACATCAACCTATTGTACCTCAGTGCGCAAACAATGGATGCAAATCATAATGCATTAGTTTGAAGGCCCCTATTGTTGTGCACCAAATGAACTGAGATGCACATTTTACTTTATGTAGGTGTGAAAGTAAATAAAAAACGGTTCATCCTGATTTCAAAATAAATAAATAAATCAGTGATTATGCATAAGTAAGTGCAAGAGATAATGTTATTTTCCCCCTACTGTAAACATGTGAAATCAGGTCAAGTGTAGATATAATGTTTATAGGTGCACTGGGTTTGCATTTTCCTCATAGATCAAATGAAAACAAAGATAGACACTCAATTCAGGTCAAGGAAATTTGACCACATCTCCCCAAGTTTATCTTCCTTGCACTGCCTGCCTGTTAAGTTCTGTGCGGATTATGAAACATTACTCCTTACCTATAATGCTTTAAATAATCTAGCTCCTATTTATCCAACTAACCTTCTGTCTTGCAACAATCCAACCTGCTCTTTAGGATCTCCAAACTCAGGGCTTCTGGTCCACTAAAGGAGGCAGAGCCTTCTCATATATGGCTCCTAAAGTCTGGAATAGCCTTCCTGATAATGTCTGAGGCTCAGACACACTCTCAGTTGAAGACTAGAATTAAGTTAACATAATTCCTTTATGTTTCCCAGAGATGGGTTGCAGCTGGAAGGGCATCCGCTGCTGAAAACTTGCTGGATATGTTGGCGGTTTATTCCGCTGTGGCGACCTCGGATTAATAAAGGGACTAAGCTGACACGAAAATGAATGAATTCCTTTATGTTGACCCAGCACAAATCAACCCAGCAGTTTTTACAGTGTAGTTCCCACTGGATCAAATTGTGTTAATAAGGGTTAAATTTTACCCTATCGCCACCATTTTATCCTCCTTACACTGGCTGCCTGTGAAGTTTCATATTGATTGTAAAATATTGCTTCTTACATATAAAGCTTTAATTAATCGAGCTCCTGTTTATAACCAACCTTCTGTCTCGCAACAATCCAACCCGCTCTTTAGGATCTCAAAACTCAGTGTTTCTGGTAGTACCAAGAAAAGCAAAATCCACTAAAGGAGGTCGAGCCTTCTCATATATGGCTCCTAAAGTCTGGAATAGCCTTCCTGATAATATCCGAGGCTCAGACACACTCTCAGTTCTAAACTAGAACTAAGAACTAGAGTTAACTTAGTTCTTTTATATTGACCCAACACAAATCGATTGTATGAATCCAGCAGTTTTTACAGTGTAGTTTCCACTGGATCAAATTGTGTTAATAAGGGTTAAATTGACCACATCACCCCAATATAATCTTCCTTACACTGATTGCCTGTTAAGTTCCATATTGTTTATGAAATATTGCTTCTTACCTATAAAGCTTTAAATAATCTAGCTTCTGTTTATTTAACCAACCTTCCGTCTTGCTACAATCCAACCTGCTGTTTAAGATTTCAAAACTCAGAGCTTCTGCTAGTACACAGAATAGAAAAGTCCACTAAAAGAGGGCGAGGCTTCTCGTACATGGTTCCTAAACTCTGGCATGGCCTTCCTGATAAAGTGCGAGGCTCAAACACACTTCAAAACAAGATTAAAGACCTATATTTTTAGTTTAGCATGACACTGAATTGACATTGACATGACACTGAATTGATATTGTAAATATAGGTAATTAATTAGAAGATTAAAATATTTTTTCCACAGAATATGCACAACTGCTTTTGTGTTTGGAGTCAGAAGCATCCCAGTAACCTTTACTCATAAATTTTACTCACTTCGTACAACAACAATGACTAAACGCACTTGACTTGTCTATTCTTAATGCTTTTAAACTTAAAACATCATTTAAGTAACTTTAAAGGATCTCCTCTTTTACAGATTTTATGCTTTATGAATTACACTCTTTGGTCACTTATTTAGATACAAATATTCAGACACGGTTTAGTACAATTTATTGTAATCAGACAATTAATTAGAGGCAATTCAACACATTTATGTATTTAGATGTGTTCAAGTAAATATGGTGATGGTAAAGTTCAAACCCCACTGAAATAGGGAAGAAAAGTGATTTTGAAGGAATAGTTCACCCAAAAATTTCCTCACTATTTACTCACACTCATGTGGTTCTAATTTTGTATAATTTATTTTTTCTGCTGTACACATAGCAAGATATTGTGAAGAATGTTGGAAAAAAACATCCATAGTAGGAACAAAATAAAATATGATAATTTAAAATAATAATAATAAAAATAAAAAAAAAATCCCAAAATCTTTTAATATATCTAATATAAAAGAAGAAAGAATCTCTGATGGGTTTGGACGATGAGTAAATGATGACAGAATAATTTTTTTTTGGTGTACTGTGCCTTTAAGTGACTTTAAATGTGTCCTGTTTTTTGGTGCAATTCACTCTGTTCTGTATATTTCAGAAACTGCTAATCTACTGGTGTTATCTTATCATAAAATAGAGGATCTTCTGTGGATGAAATTGTCTTGTTGATGCCAACCAGATTGGTTCAAGATGGCAAAAAAAAAAAAAAGGCAACAGAAACTCATCCTTCATCCAACCAAGGTCTGGGATAGAGCATCTCTAAACACAAATCAAACCTTGAAGCAGATGAGCTACAGCAGCAGAAGAAGAGCAAACACTTCTCACAGATGAGAACAGCAAACTGAAGTGACATGTCAGTGGACAATGGAAAAGGGTTGTCTGGTGTAATGGGTCTTGATTTCTGCTGCAACGTTGAGACGGTAGGGTCAGAATTTGGTGTAAACAACAAAACAACTGCCAAAAAAACTGTTATGCTCTCACGTCAATCTCTGAGGAATGTTTGAATCACCCTGTTGAATAAATGCCACAATGTGATGTAGTAATGAAGGCAAAGGGGTATAAAGCACAATACTAGCATCAATCGTAAAGTAGACAGCAAAGTAATAAATGTCAGATGAGTGTTGTAGGGGTTATTTTAAACAAAAGTGTAGCTTCT